ACAAGTTTGATGGCTCTGCAGGTTTCTTTGTTTCTCCCCGCACCCTTTTCCTCCAGCCTCTTTTTAAAGTCCTCCCTTCAGTCTCTGGGACACAGTCTCCAAATTGGCTCCCAGAGACTGGTCGCCAGGCCTGGAAATAAAGCCTTTGCCACCTAAATTTTCGGTCTCTTGCCTCCTTGGATTTTATACCGGGGCCCAAGTTATAACACTTCCCAGGCAAGTGTTGTACCACAGAGCTATATACTGAGGACTCACTTTTGAGCTCCTCCCAAAACTTGAAAATCTGATTTTTTATGTGTCATTGTACTGAATTGGGCTACTTCTACCAGAAAAATTTTGGGGTTTTTTTTTTTTTTTTTTTTGGTCTTTTTGAGACAGGGTCTCGCTCTACAGTTCAGGCCGGCTTATTTTGTAGCCCAGGATGGTCTTGAACTCATGACGATCCTCATTCCTCAGCCTCCTGAGGGCTGGCATTACAGGCATGTGCCACCATACCTGGCTAAGAGAACTGTTTTTACAAATCCTGGAGAGGTGTGGGTCTATTGAACCCTCTGTGATGCTCAGGTAAACATACTCAAAACCAGTTAGCTGGAGCATAAGGTGGGTCCAAATCCTAGTTAGATGCTTTTGCACATGTGCACACTCCTACTTTTTGTCACATCAAGTTGCTAAACATACGGTTTACTCCCTGTATCCCTCAGGGAGAGGTACTGAGATGCACAGCTGGCCACTACAATGCTAAAGTACAAATTTACAGTAGAAAAGCAAAGGATAAGTCTGCTGGTCCAGGCTTACACTTTGGTTAGCCCATTTATTGATTTTCAGAACTATTTCCTGTGCACAGAAGATCCTTGCCTGTGCCTGTGACTTCAGTAGTTTTACCTACCTTGTCTTCCAACTGGTTAAATGTGTTTGTTCTGATATGCAGATCTCTGATCCATTTTTATTTTACTTTAATACATGGTGAACGATATGGGTCTAGATTAAATCTTCTGTTTGTGGATAGCCAGTTTTCCCACCACCATTTGCTAAAGAGGTCACCCTTTCTGCAGCATTGTGACTGTCAAAAAGCCGGTGACTGCATCTGAAATTGTTTCTGGGTCATCTATTTTATTCCATCAATACGTGTCTGTTTTTGTGTCAGTACCATGCTGTTTTTATTACTGTATATTTGCAATATACTTTGAAATCTGGTATTGTGATGCCTCTTGCTTTGCTGTTGTTACTGAGGATTGTTTTTGTTATGCTGGTCTCTTTCTGGTTGCATATGAATTTTAAGATTATTTCTCTAGTTCTATGAGGAATGCTGTTGGTATTTGCTTTGAGATTGTATTAAATCTTATGTATCAGCTTGGGAAGTATGGCCATTTTGACTATTTTGGTTCTGTCTATTCGGGAACAGAGAATATTTTTCCATTTTTCTGATATTATCTTTATTCTCCTTGTCTAGAGTACTCTGGTTTTTATTGTAGAGACCCTTCTTTTCCTTAGTTAATGGTTAATTCCTAGTATTTAATTTTTCTTGATGCTGTTGTGAATGGTATTGTTTTCCTAATTTCTTTCTCATTGAGTTCATATTGGTATATAGGAACACTACTGATTTTTGTGTGTTGAGTTTGTGTGCTGCAGCCAAAATTTAGAAAGATAAGAAGATGATTTTTTAAAATCCGTATACCCCACCAGTTAGATGACCATGATTATCGTTACAGTGAGTTTCTTCTTGAGCTTTTCCTCAACTCTGATACCCTGATAAGCGTGTGAGCGTAGCCACTGTTGAACTACAGCAGCTCCCTGTCCACCTTTTCATGCACAGTCTCTCACTCACCCCTAAAGAACAAGCTGGCAAGGATGAGACCACATTCACATTTTACAGATGAGGAGACAGAGGCTTGCAAAATTTAAGCAGGTACACAACATGCTCAGATTTTAATTTTGGAAAGGTCACACCTGGAGGACATTGTACAGGATGGCCTGGGGGCTGGGTGAGGAATCACAGGCTGGAGGGAAGGTCCCTGGGGGACCCAGGCCTGAGCAGGGCCTCAGGCTATCCTGCTCTTCCCTCTCCAAGGATCTGTTGTTTTCAGTGAGACACAGAGCCATTGGAAAGAAACCAAACATGATACAAGTCCACATTCTCTGAATGTATGTACATTGTGTGTGTGGCTTTTTTCTGAACCTTGAGGGTGAGTTATGTATGTCTTAGCCCTTTACCCTTTACTTTAAAATTTCCTTTAAAGAGAAATATTCTTTATATAACCCCAACTTCAGTAAATTTAATATTACACTGATAATTTCATCAAATTTATCGTTCTTTTTCCAATAAGTCAAATAATGGTCATTCCAGTGTTCTTCACCCCCATTATGAGATCCACTCTACTGTGAAGTGTCTAATACATTTTTCCCCCCAAGGGGAAAGTCTGAATTGGGCAGAGCGGAGCCCAGGACCACTTCCTTTGATCGCAAGCTCCTAAAATGTATACGGAAACCCCACCGTGCCAGGGCCTAGTTGGACCACCACTGTGGTTTGGCTCAGTCACAAGTAATATCCTAGAGATGTCACACAAAGTGCAGTGGCCATCAGGGGTGTAGGTCAGTGTTGGAGCACACGCTTACCATGTACAAGGCCCTGATTTAGATAACCAGCATTAGAAAGAAAGTGTGGTGCTTTCCACGGTCAGGGAGGTGAGGAAAGAGAGCAAGCAGAGTTCCCTGAGTCTACTCTGTTCTTGCAAGTTCCTTTGTAGAAAAGTCCTGAGTCTACTGATTTTGCAACCATGGCTTATAATCCCCTTACAGTGACACCTTAAATAGGGCCTGTCCCTTGGATGCCTTGTGAAGATTTGCTTAGTGGATGGATGTTGGCCGGCTTCTACTTCCTTCTACTAAGGAGGTCTGGGAGCATGGGTGCACAAACACCTGAGGGTGTGCAGTGGGTATAGATGATGGCTACACTGGCCAGCGGGGGGCCTGAGCCTAGCTGTTCTTCTGCCTCCCAGGGCTGTGTGGAGTGATGTGCAGAAGGAATGCTTGGTTCCACCAATCCCGAGCTTCTGTGACTTTACTTGTTCTTTGGCCCCAGGAAATTCAAGTCTACGAGTGGCATTGCAAACCCCAGCTTCAGGACCATGTGACAGGGACCACGGGACCTGAGCGTCCTACTGAAGTCTGGACAGGAATTCTCAGTAGGAAAGGGAGGCAGATGCGCTGTGTTTTAACTGCATTCCAGAGCACATACATTCACCTTTTCAGAGTGTACAGCGTGCTGGGTCTTAGTGTATTCACAAAGCTGCCTGACTGTCATCACCACTCAATTTCACAACAGTTTCATCACTCCAAAAGGAAACTCCATCCTCATTAGTGGTCCCTCCCTATCATCCCCTACCCCAGCTTAGGCAGCCTCTAATGTGCCTTCTGTCTCCACGAATTTATCTGCTCTAGACTTTCATAAGCATCAGTCAGGGCTCCGCATACCAAGTACTAGGAGATGGACTGATTTGCTCAAGCACCAAAACCACATCTGGACATAGGCTAGGTAGAACGTCAGTGTCTGGCTTTTTGCTGTTGTTTAGACAGTCTCACTCAGTTGCCTAGGCTGGCTTTTGAACTCTTGGGCTTCTTCACTAACTTAAGTGATTGAGGCTCAGCTTCCTCCTCCAGGGGCCGCAGACAGGTGCACATGGGTGCCCAGCTACTACGTGGCTTCTTTTTTAAAGCGAGTTTATTTTTTTCAAAACAGAATCCAGATTTAATTGCATACCATGCCCTTTACATATTTCAGATCTTCTTTCACAAAAGTAGATCCAGTGTCAGCCTGGTTAGGTAGTCATTTGATTCATTAAATGTTAGAGAAAGACATAAGCAAAGTAATTTCTGCTGAAAGGTTGCTCTATAAGATATTGAACATTTTATGTTATGAAGGTTATAATCAAATTATCGTTCAAGATTGATTGATGTATCATTTTGATTCAGCAGACTTTTGGTGTAAACACACCAAAAATGTGAGTGGGCCCTGCCTTCACATACACTGCTGCCTGCATCTGTTTGCACCATGGAGTAAGTGTCATATTGTCAAAGCATTGGGCTTCTTTATTTTGTGTTTCCAAGGCTGTACCTTTTTTCATTAGTATATGTTTGCAGCACCTTCTATATTAAAATAAAATAGAAGTCAGAACAGGACAATAGTAAGAGTCAATATTTAGATATTAGTCTATGCTTTGCCAGTAACTATATTGCTCTGTCCCGACTGGTATGTAAATTTACAGTGTTAAAGTTTCCCTCATACTAACATTTCCTCTTTCCTCTTTACCATTGCTAGATCATTGTTACGCTTTGTGTCCTAGGTGGCCTTTTATATCTATTTCTTTCAATGAGCGTAATGCTTTTGAGGCCGTTTGTGCTGTAGCATGTCATTGGTACTTGCATCCTTTATTCTGGCTAGGAGACATTTTGCAGGGGGAATACACTCTGTATTATACGGCCATTCGCCACTTGCTGGACCGTGGGGCTGTTGTCACCACTGAGCTATTGTGAACAATGCTGCTGCAGGCGTTGGTGAGCAATGTTTCTGGAGATCTGTCTTCCTTTCGCTTCGGTGTATACCTGGGATGAAATTGCTGGTCCTATGGGCTCTGTTTACTCTCCCGCAGAGCTGGTGGGCTGTTTCCCAGGGGCCACATCTTGGTACATCCCTGCACTCCGCGCCCTTCTTACATTGCCCACTGCCCTCAGGCTGGGCACTCTGTAGACCTTTCTCCCCTCAGCTCCTGTGATCTTCACACCAACCTGAGTAACCCTGTCTTTTCCTTCACTTTCCCAAGGAGAGCACTGAGGCTCTCCCACCTCTACCCAGGATCATATGGGACAGGGCGAAGTCGAGGTGCACACCTAGTTCTGGCCACAGGTTTTCTTGGTTCCTCAGTGGCTTCTTGCTGACTGAGTGACCATCCAGGTGCTGAAGTCACATTAATCTTCTCTCCAACTCTCTGGGCACTGTTTTGCAGACAGGAAAATTGGACCCCCACTACCCCAAGGTCTGCGGGCACAGAGGGAACATCCTAGACATCAAGTGGAACCCTTTCAATGACTTCGAGATTGCCTCCTGCTCTGAAGATGCCACGGTGAGTGTCGGCCGGTGTGCTTCTGTGGCCTAGAGGCTGGGGTGGGGGACAGTGTCTGCATTCCCCTTGGGGTGCCCCAACTACTTCATCATTGTGTAAGAAGCAACTACTTCATCATTGTGTAAGAAGCAAAAGAAAGACTAGGAGAAGTTTGGGGTGCTTGGGTTTGGGGTGCAGCCCCTTCTCTCTCTGAGCCTCAGTTTTCCCTGCCTGTAAGTAGGAACTGTAACTCTACCCCTCTAACAAAGATCAGATGAGGTTGTGCTGCAGTGGGAGAGCCCAGGCTCCGGAGAAACTGTAAAATGCTGTGAGAGGTATCTTTATTGTGGTAAAAATCCACTAAATCTCATAATGAGACAGTGAGCCGTGAAAGGATGGGAATTGTGGGAGTATAGACCCCCAAACCATCCACAGGTCAGTCCCACCCACTTTTTTAGGACAGAGTTTTGCTATTTTTCCCAGCCTGGCCTCAAGCAGTCCTCCTGCTTCAGCCTCTGAAGTGACGAGGACTACAGGTGTGCTCCAGTGCACCCAGCACCCTTCAATGTTTTTCAGCTCCAGTTGTATACCAGGGACATAGTCCATGTCCCCATGATGTTCAGCATTAACTTACTTCCGATTCATTCTGTATAACTTACTCATTCTACATCTAAACTATATTGGCTGAGGCCAGGGAGGCCAGGCACAGTGGCGCACGCCTGTAATCCCAGCACTCAGGAGGCTGAGGCAGGAGGACTGCTGCAGTTCAAGGCCAGCCTGGGCTACAAAGTGAGTTCAAGGCCAGCCTGAACTATATCGTGAGACCTTGCCTCAAAGACAATATATATGTTGTGACTTAAAATAAAGCACATAGAGGTGAGCAGCTAATTAACATAAGGATGAAGGTCGTAGGGATTGTTCCTGTGGTCCCATTGTATTTTTTTCTTTTTGAGACAAGGTCTCACTGTATAGTCCAACTAGCCTTGAACTTGAACTCAGTATGTAGCCTCAGCTAGCCTCGAACTCACAGTGATCCTCCTGCCTCAGCCTCCCGAGTGCTGGGATTTCAGGCGTGCACCACCATGCCTGGCTTACCCATTGTATTCCCAACTCTGACTGCACTTCTCTTTTCAGTCTTCCCAGCAACTCTACAAGGTAAGATATTTTTCTGATGGAGAACCCAAAGATCAGCGAGGTGCAGGGATTTGACCAAATTATACAGTTTGTGGGAGGCAACCTTGGCTGCAGCATAGGCCTCATTGACTCCAGGGCCCATTCTCCCTCTACTGAGCTCTGCCACTTCCCTCAAGGGCAAAGCCAGAGCCACAGATGGGGAAACGGAGGAAATCCGAGAAATATCAGCTGTGCTGGTGGCAGCAGCTGAGTTCCTAGTTTGACTCAGAATTGCCTAGTAGCTGAGACAAAAAAAGGAAATTAGAATTACTGCAGAACCCTCACTGTTTATCAGGAAAGGGAAGGAGAAAGTTTTGGTTTGGTTTGGTTGTTTTGTTTTGTTTTGTTTTGTTTTGTTTTGTTTTGTTTTGTGTTTGAGATAGGGCATCACTATGCAACCCAGACTGGCCTCAAACTCACAATCTTCTTCCTTCTGCCTCCTGAGTGCTAGGATTACAGACTTGCAGTTTAGGAATCCAAAATTTCTATCAGATCTGTGTCAGGACCCTTGTAGAAAATTGCTGAAAGGCCAGGTGTGGTGGTGCATTCCTGTAATCCACTTGGGAGGCTAAGGCAGAAGGATCATTATAAGTTCAAGACCAGTCTGGGGTACAAAGTAAATTTAAGACCAACCTAAACGGCAAAACTCTGTCTCAAAAAGACAAAAAAAGATAGAAAATTGCTGAGAAGCATCCAAGACTTTCACCAAAGGAGCAGTCAGGCCTCATGGGAACAGATTGTGTCCCAGTGCATGCAGCATTCTGACGGAATGTCACACATCAGCCCTGGCCTCCCTTCCTTGGTGCTCACCCTTTTGGGCCTGCTCTGAGCCTCCTGCCACCATCCCTTCCCAGATGCCCCAAGCACAGGGGAGATGGACACAATGATTGAGATAGAAGTGGCGGCAGATTCGTTTGTAAACTGATCTTGGACATGGGACAGGGCTGAGCCTCCAGCCTTAGGAAGTGCAGGGTGGGGGGCCCTGCTTCCTCTGTTGGGGTGCACCTGTATCTCCAAGCAAAACAGCCCAGTGCCGGTCCTACCAGGCAGCTCTGTGCATGGACGGCCCTTGCCCACCACTCTGTCTGCAGCCTGCACTGCTCCAGATAGAGTTCATGTCCAGAAGCGGAAGCACGGCTTGCTTGAAAAACCTGTACCCAGGAAAACCTTAGGTTGCAAATATAGACTGTTCCAGAAACATGCTTGTCAGCTGAAGTGCTTGTTTTTTAGAGCACATTTCCCCACGAGAAATAACACAACCCAAACATATTCATATAAAATTATTATAGCAGTATACTAGAATACAAAATAGAAAGAAAAATAAACAAATGAGCCTGCACTTACCTTGGAAACCTTTGTGGCTGGGGTGAGGGAGACAAAGAGAGGGGAGATACTGTGTAGAACAACTTCCATTGTCACAAATTGAAGTGCTGCTGCTGTATACTGATGGACCTTCAACAAGGAACCTGTCCGGTGACACCTGCTTTTGTCTCCTTTTGAGGATCTGATGGAAATGTAACGTTTCATTGTCATTACACAGATTCATCACTCTCTCTGCTACAGCCTTATGTAGGTGGTGCTTTTCTATGACATTTTCCCACATTTTACCCTTCTCCCTGATCACATTTGAAGTGAAGGATTCCTCTGCCTTTTTCTCCTCCTCCTCTGCAGATGAGATCTTCTCTATAACCTCTTGCTGTAGGGAGGTTATAGAGAGAGTCCTGCAGAGAGAGACGAGACAGAGACAGAGGGAAGCATTGGCTCAGGTGTGATCATGTGACGTTTAGTATCAGGTACACGCTAGGCATCACTGGTTTACCGAGTTAAAATTTATTAGAAATGTTTGGCCGTCTGTGGAACAGTCACAGGACAAGTTACTTGCAAGCCAAGGTGTTACTGTGTCTCTAAAGGAAGTGATACATTCAGCCATGGAGGGGCATGGAGACAGCACCAGTCAAGGCTCCATCTCCCTCTGCAGCACGACCCATGCCTCTGTTCCATTCTCCCATGACAGGGTGCTTGCTCTTTGAATGGGATCCCTGTTTCCATCTCAGACAGCACTTCCCTGAAGGACGCCTCAGCCCCTTCCTTCTAGCCCTTAGTGTTAAACATAGCAGCCTTTGACCCCCTCCTGCCAAAGTTTCTACTTTTCAGTCTCTCCTCTTCCAAGCTATCAACAGTACCTCCTCAAATCAAGAGGTTTGTCTTCGCTCCAAAGTTTGCACTCGCACCTTAGTGCCTGAGGGTGCTGCACAAACCCTCCTGGCATCCAAGGCTCCACTGTGAATCTTAGGACAAGGAAAGGGAAGAGGCTGTGTTTGGAGGGGTATCCTAGGCCAGCAGCACATGGGCCTTGGCATCCAGCCTGGAAGATCAGGCCAGCAGCCCACCTACCTGCCCAACACCTCTGGCCATCAGGATAACAGAGCTGGGTGCTGGAGGCTGAGGCAGGAGCAGGATGAATTGAGGCCAGCCTAGGTAACAGTGAGATCCTGTCTGAAAAAATACAATAAATACAATATGATACAATACAGTGTTAGTAAAGCTTCCCTGGGGAAGGATTGGAAGCATGGGCTCATCTCAGGTCAAGACCAGCCACCACTCCAGTCAGAGGACCTTGGTAAAGCTTCTGTCCCTCTGACTGCCCCTCCACGGTGCAAAGAGCTGACAAAACAAGGTGCCCTGACTAACCCCCGGCCCTGGCCCCTGTGTCTCCCGCCAGATCAAAATCTGGGACATCCCCAAGCAGCTGCTGACAAGAAACCTCACCACCTACAGGAAGGAGCTGGTGGGCCACTCACGCAGAGTGGGCCTGGTGGAATGGCACCCCACAGCCGCCAATATACTCTTCAGCTCTGGCTATGACTACAAGGTGAGTCTGAGGCTTCCTGGCAAGGTCACCACATGTGGGTGGCTTGAAACAACAGAAGCATCCTCTCTCCCCTGTACCAGAGACTAGAAATTCCAAGTCAAGGTCTTGGCAGCCATACAGAGCCCTGGGGAGATTATCCCTGCGTGGCCCCCGGCTGGCTCTTCTGCTGTCTTGGGGGGCCTTGTCCATGTGTGTCCTCTTATAAAGACACCCTAATTTTTGTGACCTAAACTGACTACATCTGCAAAAACCCTATTTCCAGATAAAGTCCCATTTGAGGCTCTGGGTGGACCTTTGTTTTAGGGAGCGTGATTCACCCTATTGTGTTCTGCCCTTAGACCCCCCTGCTCCAGGGACTGCCAGGCACACGCCATGTGTCCTGGGGGTTGGAGCCTGGATGCTTCTCCGGCTGGTCTCTGACTGACAGTGTGACCTGGGAGCATCCTGTGCCTTCCCTGGGCCTCTGTAACCGGTCTGGGGGCCAAAGTGGTGGGACCACAGTGGGGGGTTTTCAGCTTTTCCCTCCTTGTTCTTTTGGGCCTTATGGAGGCACCTCGGGGCCCCTGTGATGGATGGAAAGGTGGGGTGGGAGCTGGTAGAGGGCACTGGACCTCCACTGCCTTCTGAACAGAAGCACTGTTTGGTCTGTGTAGGGTGTGTGTTAGGCTAACGTGAATGGCTGTGCAGGTTATTCTGTACACAGTGCCAGGGGGCGCTGTTTGCTTCTAGGATTTCGGCTTACATTGCCCAGGAGTTGTGCCTTGTGCAGCCTGTGCAGCTAAACATGGCAGCCCTGGTTATCCACGTAAAGCGGGAAATGCTGCCCAATGTTGAAACACACCTCCCCCCTCCATTTGCAGGTTCCCTGGGGCCTTCCCAGGGCCGATGTTTTCTGGCTCAAAGGCAAATGGTGTTTTCCTCGCACTGTGACACAGCCTGGCTCCCGCTTCCCCCTCTGCTCCACGCAGCATCAGCAGCATGTCCGTTCTCCCTTGCCACCGAGCCTGCTGGGCCAGGCTGCCAGCTGCGTTTCCCTCCTGGGGATACTGTGTTTCACTGTGGCCAGCTTGTCCTGCAGGACTGGGGCGGGGTGGCCACTGCCTGCGCTCGGAGCCGGCTCTCTGCCTGCAGGTGATGGTCTGGAACCTGGATACAAAGGAGTCTGTCATCATGAGCCCCGTGAGAACCATCACCTGTCACCAAGACGTGATCCTGTCCATGTCCTTCAACACCAACGGCAGCCTGCTAACCACCGCCTGTAAAGACCGAAAGATTAGGGTTCTTGATCCCCGACTTGGGACAGTCCTGCAGGTCAGTGCTGGGCCAGGGTCTGGTGCAGGGCTGAGAAGCAGGGGGCCAAGTAGGGCCGGGGCATCTCTGAGAACCAGACGGCATGCTGGTGGCTTCTGGGTCAAGCCTACATAGGCAACAACTTCAACTGCCCTCTAGACCCTGCTGGGAAATAAGATATGCCTGGTCCATTTCTCAGATGGGAAAACTGAGGCCAAAAAAGAGAGAAAGAGACTCCATTACATGGAAAACAGGGTTTGAACCTGGTTCAATTCCAAAGCTGGTCCATGTGCTCTGTCACTGTTCTGGGGGTCAGGAGATGGAAACTGTCCACTGAGTGATGTTGGACAAATACTTTCTGGCTCATCAGCAGCAGTGACCATTATGTGTCCTGTCAGAGGGCTAAATAGGACCACCAGGTGACAGCAGGCACCCATCCCTGTGCCTCCTTAGAGTGGTGCTCAGTACGCTTTCAGCAGGAGCCTGGAGCAAGATAGAGCTGCACCCTCATTCTAGCTGGGAGAAAAGACCCTTAGCAGGAGGGCGCCATGTGGCTAGGGGGCCAGGCAGGCTTCCTGGAGGTAGTGCCCCAGGTGGGCTCTCCAGGAGCCGGACTGAGAAGGGCAGGCCAGAACCTCCAAACAGCAGTCCAAGTCCCCTCTTGGCATCTGTCTATGCTAACCACAAATGTCCCCCCAGGAAGCCAGCTACAAGGGACACCGGGCCAACAAGGTGCTGTTCCTGGGGAACCTGAAAAAGCTGCTGTCCACCGGCACATCGCGCTGGAACAACCGGCAGATGGCCCTGTGGGACCAGGTGGGTCTAGAGGCACCGCTGTCCCGCCATCACCCCTCAGCCAGCTGTGGCTTGTCTCATTCATTCATTCATTCGATTGATGATCACTCACTCAGTTCTCACAGTGCCTAGCGGAGTCCACTGGGGCCGAGGACCTGGGCATAGAACAGGAAGACTCCAGCAGCCCCTTGGGTGAGCCCAGGGCCTAGTGCTTCCTGTCTTTCGAGGAAGGAGCTGGGGAGGCCCTGGTGGAGGGCAAGGGAAGCCCCTGGAGCAGCTAGAGCACAGCCTGGGGAGCAGCTAGAGGTCATCCCCTGCGGCAGGGGTGAGGGAGCAGCGCCACTTTGAAGGAGCCCTTGCCAGGCATTTCAGACACCGCACAGATCACTTCCCGAAACGGAGTCTCCCGCATCTAATAATGGCTCCAGATGGGGGCCAGGCAAGATGACACGTGCCTGTAATCCCAGCACTCAGGAGGCTGAAGTAGGAGGACGGCAAGTTTCAGGCCAGCCAGGGCTACATGGTCAAATCGAAACCAAAAATAATGGGAAAAAAATAAAAGGTTGAGGGAGGAGCAGAGTCAGGCCATATGTGTCAAAATGCTGACAAAATAGATGCAGCAGTTTTAGTGCCTTTAAAACGTCTGCTCTCTGAGATAGTAGCTGACAGGTTGGGCCTCAAGAACCCAGGCCTCTGCCCCAGCACATACACACAAGATCAGACCTCTCTGCCATCCGCACACTCCAAGCCCCAGGCAGCAGTTCCAATTGCAGGAGACTCTGCAGCGTCCTGGTCTCCCTTCCTGCAGGATGATCTCTCGGTGCCCCTCACAGAGGAGGACCTGGACGGCTCCTCCGGTGTGCTGTTTCCCTTCTACGACTCGGACACCAACATGCTCTATGTGGTGGGAAAGGTCAGCCTGTCTGGCTCGGGAGGGAGGTGGCAGCCTGGGGCCCCTGGGGACAGAGAACAGTGGCTGGCCACTTTTCCCAACAGGGAAGCATGCACCCTTCCACACACTCCCAGCTCCCTAGGAAGACTGGGCCCAGGGCTATGTCTGGTCACCCCATGCTTGTGCTTCCAAGCTCTGGGACCAGGTAGCCTTTCCCCGCAGGCCATCCTGAACTTGGGCAGAGCAGGTCTTCACAGGGCCAGGCTGTCCCGTAGTTGGCATCTCTGGCCTCTACCCCCCAATATCCTCTCCATCTTCTAGCCATTATGATAAGCAGAAATGTCCCTCAGGGCTAAGATTCTGACCTCTGCCGCTCTTGGATGGGAGTGGGATTTGGGCCTGTTTCCCCAAAGCCTCTGCCTTAGAGGCCTGAGGGTGGGTTTTGCATCATAGTTGGGGGCACTGAGAATTAAAATGAGGACCTCCTTGTCCATGCCTTGGTGATAGGCTCCTTGGGGACTTGGTGTCCCCAGTGCGATGTGGGTTTTCCTTCTGCTCCCTCGGTGAAAGAGGTGGCTTGTTGACCTAAGACTCGCCTGCTCTCTTAGGGTGACGGGAACATCCGCTACTACGAGGTGAGCGCTGACAAACCTCACCTGAGCTACCTGACCGAATTCCGCTCCTACAACCCACAGAAAGGGATCGGTGAGTGAGACTCCTGGGCCACTCGGGAATGGGCCTCTGCAGCTGTAAGGATCCATTTGCTGTTGCTAACAGAGGATCATCAGCTATCTGACTTATAACACGTTTTGGCTCATGGTTCTGCAAATGCCAGGTCAAGGGGCTGAGTCTGGCGATGGCATCTCCTGCTAACAGAGCCCCAAGGGAGCCCAGGGCTTCATGAGATGAGACAGGTCGCATGCACGCACGTGGGTGTCTCCTCGCATCACTGCCTCTCACAAAGGCACCAGGATTCAACCCTGATGACCTTATCCAATCTTGATCACTCCCCAAAGGCCCCTCTCTAAACCCTATAGTTAGATTGAGTCCCACCCTCTTAACACCTCATGGTGGGGACTGAATTTCTTTTCTTTTCTTTTCTTTTTTTTTTTTTGTCTTTTTCATTTTTATCAGGGTTGAATTTCAATACCTAAACCTTTGGGGACATATCAGGCCACACAGCAGGTCAGACTTAGGCAGCACAAAGGAGCGAGCCAGAGCCAGGGAGCTGAGGAGGCTTCATCTTAGGAGTTGAAAGAGGAAGCAGAGAGAGCCTGCTTGGGAGAGAGGAAGTGTTCCTGGTGAGGTCAAGGGGTGACCTAAAAATAAAACCCGGGAGCCATCCCTTTCTCTTTTCTAAGTGTTTGCTGATTCAAAAGGGAGCACATCTCTAATCCCAGTTCCTTGAGAGATCACAGGTTTGAGGCTGCCTAGACAATTTAGGGAGACCCTGTTTCAAAAGGAGAACAAGGGCTGAGGATGCAGCTCACTAGGAGAGCACCCCTAGATTACTATAAAAAAGTAAACAAACATAAGAGGATCCGCTGAAGGCCGAGGGTGTAGCTCAGGGGTAGGGTTCCTGCCTAGCATGTGTGAGGCCGAGTTTAATCCCCAGTACAAGGATTGAAAAAATTAAAAATGAAAAATGTATTTTTTTAAGAACAATATTCCAATTAAATATATTTGAAAAGTAAAAGGCACAAGTAAGATGTACTATGGGGAGTAGCTTAGTGGCAGTGCTTGCCTAGCAAGTATGAGGCCCTGAGTTCCATTCCCAACACCAAAAATAAAATAAAATAAAAAGACAGAAAGCAGGAATATCCATATTGTGAGTATTTGGGTCCCAGGACTGTGAGGATAGACTGAGAGCAAGCTGTAAGAATCTAGTTAAAATAATTGAAATGCTTGAAGTGGAGACAGAGTCCAGTGATTAATGCATTTCCACAGCGCAGGCCCCGTTGTGCCTGGGTACTTGGTTTTAAACTATTTGCAGAGGGAAGAAGTGGGAAGAGGGCAGTTTCCTGGGGACAGCCTGGCTTTGCCCCGCATGCCAGATCCTTGTAGCCCCAGCCTAACCAGGACTTCTTGTCTGCAGGGGTCATGCCAAAGAGAGGTCTCGACGTGTCCTCCTGCGAGATCTTCCGCTTCTACAAGCTGATCACAACCAAAAGCCTCATTGAGCCCGTATCCATGATTGTGCCCCGGCGGGTAAGGGTGTTGGAGCCATCTGGGTAGAAGATAAGGAACCCATCTTACAGAAGACAGACTCCAGAGCATTAGGGTCCCACTGCTCCCAGACCATGCCTTGAGGGCAGCCATGGGGAGGCTGAGGGTCACCCCTTCAGGGGAAGATCCTTATGCTCCTTACCACGAGGCCAGGCATCCCAGCCTCGCTTACCTCCACTTTGGAGTTGTGCATGACCCTGGACATGTCCTTGTGCTCTCTGGGCCTGGGTTTCCTCATTTGGCAGTTGGGGACAGCGTGGACTCCCAGCTCCCTCCCTATGCGGGCAGCCTACTCCACCAGTGTCCCCTCACTCTCCACACTCTCCTGCAGTCGGAATCCTACCAAGAGGACATCTACCCACCAACAGCAGGGGCCCAGCCCTCCCTCACAGCCTATGAGTGGCTCAACGGGATGAACAGAGGTGAGAAAGGCCAAGAACGGCAACTGTGATGGAAAAGGAAGTCCCAGGGGCCCCAAGCGCTAGGGGGGGGCGGAGGCAGGGGGTGGTGGCCTGAATTTTAATTTCCTGTATCTTCAAAGGACAGCTCTCTGATAGTCAGACCTCAGTGACTGGCTGTCACACAGGACTAGGAAGACAGGGCTGGAACCATTCAGAAAGCTCGTCCAGGGTAGTTGCACCAGTCTACACTCCCAGCAAGGCAAAGAAGGGTTCCTTTTTCTCCACATCCCCTCCAGCACTTAACATTAGTGGCTGATTTCCTGATAATTGCTACTCTTTCTGGAGTGAGATGAAGAATTAGCATTGTTTTAATTTGCCTCTCTCAAATGACCAGTGATGTTGAACATTTTGCCGTTTCTACTTCTTGTCTAAGAAGGGTCTATTAATTTCAGATGCCTATTTTTGGATTGGGTCTTTAAAGTTTGGAGGTCTGATTTTTTTGAGTTCTAGATAATATTAGTTCCTTGTCTGAGGATCAGCTGGCAAAAATTTTTTCCCACTCAGTGGGCTCTCTCTTTATTGTTTTCTTTTGCAGTACAAAAACGTTTTAGTACGATGAGATCTCAGTAGTTTTTGCTTTGTTATATTTCCCTAGTGGATGGGGTTTTATTCATAAAGTCTTTGCCTACACCAGTGTTTTCAAGAGTTCTGCCTGTTTTCTTTTTCAGCAGATTTAGTGTTTCTGGTTTAATATTTAGATCTTTGATCCATTTTGATTTTAATTTGGTTCATGGTGAGAGACGCGAATCTAATTTTTGCCTTCAGCAGGTGGAAAGCCAGTTTTTCCAGCACCATTTATTAATGGGGCTATCTATCTTCCAGTGAGGGTCTTTGGTCCCTTTTTCAAAGATAATGTGATTGAAAGTGTTTAGAATTATTTCTGCATCTTTTAATCTGTTCCATTGATCCTCAAGTCTTTTTTTTTTTTTTTTTTTTTTTTTTTTTTTGCCGGTACCATGCTGTTTTTATCACAAGAAGCAAGATTGTAGGAATATTTAAAGTCGGGGATCCTGATGCCTCCTGACTTGCCTTTATTGCTCAGACTTGCTTTTGCTATTCTAGGCCTCTTCTGGTTCCAAAACAATTTTAGGATTATTTTCTCTAATTCTGTGCTATTGATACTTTGATCAAGATTGTATTAAATTTGTACAATTTTGGGAATATGACCATTTTCACTACGTTGGTTCTTCCTACCTAAAAACAAAGGCTATCTTTCCATTTTCTGATATCTTCTTTGCTCCCCTTTTTCATAGTACCATAGTTTTCAGTTTAAAAGATCTTTTATTTCCTTTATTAGATTGAATTCTAAGTATTTCTTTTTGATGCTATTGTGAGAGGCATGATTTCCCTAAATTCTCCTTCAGTGAGTTTGTTGTTTGTGTACAGGAATAGTACTGATTTTTTGAGTGGTGACTTTGTATCCAGCTATGTGACCGAATTTGGTCATAGAAGTTTAAACATCGAAGTTTGGGGTCTTCTGTGTAGAGTATCATGTCAGCTGCAAATAATGATAATTTAACTTCCTTTTCTATCTTTATTCCTTTTATATCTCTCTCTTGTCTAATTGCTCTGGCTAATGTTTCCAAACTATATTGAGTAGGAGTGGTGATAGTGGACATCCTTGTCTTATTTGATTTTAGAGTGAAAGCTTTCAGTTTTTTACCATTTAGTGTAATGTTGGCTATTGGTTTGTCATCAATGGCTTTTATCAGATTGAGGTAAGGACCATCTATTCCAATTTTCTGTAAGGTTTTTAACATGAATGAGTGTTGAACTCTGTCAAATGATTTCTCTACATCTATTGAGATTATTTTTGTCTTTGGCTCTGTTGATATGGTGTGTTGCATTTATTGGTTTGTGTATGTTGAACCATTCCTGCATCCTTGGGATGAATCAGTGTGGAGATTCTTCAAAAAACCAAAGCTAGAGATTCCATTTAATCCAGCTATTACACTTCTTGGTATCTTCCCAAAAGAATTAAACAAATCATACCACAGAGATGTATACACACCCATGTTTATAGCAGCATAGTTCGTAATAGCTAAATCATGGGAACAGCTCCAATGCCCATCAACTGAGGAATGGATAAAGAAGACATGGTTTTTTACACAATGGATTATTTCTCAGCCATAAAGCAGGATAAACTTGAAACATTTACAGGTGAAAGGTTGAACCTTGAGACAATACTCTTATGTGAAATAAATCAAGCACACATATGTCAATATCACATTGATTCACTGGTGCAAGAAATCACAAGTGCAAAAAGGACCAGTATGTATACTAGACGTTATGAGATAGGAAGAAAATGCTCAGTTGGGAAGGGAAACTAGGGAGGGAGAAGGGAGAAAGGAAGAAGGGAAAAAGAAGGAAAACCAGAAACAAAACTTTTGTAAATAAGGAGGGGAAAGAGACGGAAGGAAGCAAAAAGGAATGGGGAAAAGGAATTGAAGTAACTGTATACAGGTACAGTGTCCCAATAATGACAGTGACCACTATGCATATTTAAAATATACCAATAAACTTAATTAATTTTTTAAAAAGGCTTTTCCAGCTCAAGGGAAGTTGCTGCACGGAACACTTCTCACTCTGGCTTTTCAGGGAAACTGGAAGTCTCAGCCAGACTCCCCTTCCAGTCCTCCACTCCTATCTCTGCAATTATTGTTTGGCCCAAGAGACTCTCAGGGCAGCAACTGCCACCCAGGCTCTTTGGTCCCTGCAGCCTGGCCTGACTGTAACCAGGGCCAGCCCAGGAAAGAGAGCGGCATATGGCCCCTTGACCCCTGACCCAGAAGCTCTTCCCATCCATTGAAGGAAGCTCTCATTTCCTTCGCCAGGGGCTGAGGGCCCTCCTGAAGCACTGAAAGGGCTACCGCTAGTGCCAAGTCCTGGATTTGTGCAACCTTAGGTCCACTCCACCCTGGGCCTCTGATTCCTTCTCTTCCTGCTGCCCTTGCTTCCTGGGCATGTTGAGAGAACTCATGGCATTGGTAGATGGCAGAGTGCAATGAGGGTAGGACTGTCCTCACAGGCAAGGACAGGGCTACCCTTGAGGAACACACAGTACCTGCAGATGGGTCCAGTTCACACAACGTGCAGCACCCACCACCAGGCTTCGCAACTGACTGCGCAGGTGGTGTTAGTACTGGACTGCCCAGCCGTGGTTTCTTGCTGTCTGCAGGCAGCTGCATGTCCCACCCTTGCTACGTGTTTCTGCCTGCCAGCCTCCCCATGTCCATCTGCTCATGCCACTCAGTTCTCTCACAACTTTGCTTCCCTCCAGAGCCAATCCTGGTGTCCCTTCGGCCTGGCTCCCAGCTGCTGAGCCCTCAGCCTCTGCCTCCGCAGCGATCCCTCTCCAATCCTGCATCCCCAGCTTCACTCCTGCCCGTGGATGCCACACCAAAGCTGGCTGCAGAAGACAGCCACAAGCCCTGCTCCCTGCTGGAGGAGAAGGTGCCACGGTGGGCAGTGGAGCACAGGCTGGAGGAGAAGAAATCCTTGCTCACAAACGGCTTCGACATTTTCGAAAGCCCCCCACCAAAGACAGAGAATGAGGTAAAGGAAAGTGAGGGCCTGCCGAGGGCAGCTGGGGGCAGCTGGGAAGGCATCAGCACTGTGTTCAGTCAGCGAACAGGCAGTGAGCACCTTCTGTGTGGCACAGCCGTGAATATACACACAGGTGGAAGGGAGCCATTTGTAAAACACAGTTTGGCCTAGTAAGCATTAAAGTCCCTTCCAGCGCTGATGTTCTGAGATTTTCTGGGCTTCAGAGTGAACATCCGTTAAGTACCTTCCCCTATACCAGGCGCTGGGTAGACATTTTTGACATCACATGTGATGAATTCCCAGGGGCCACAGCCCTGGAAATCCATGTGGCCGAGCTGAAAATGGAAGGGCAGGTATCTGGCAGAGGGATTGTGATCTACTGTACCCAGCACTCACGAGGGGCTCAGTCCTAGGGGGGTCGCGTGTTGCTAAGGTTCACTCTCCTTGTGTGAAGTGGAAGTGACACAGGGTGTCTCAGGCATCCAGAGGAAATAAGGAAAGCCCTGTGGGGCTGTCTGCACAGCAGCAGCCATTATGACAGTGAGGTTTTCTGACCCCCCCATCCCTAGAGCAGTGGTGGCAAATCTCTAGCACCCATGCGGCAGCTGGTGGTTTGTTACCACTGAAAACTCTAAGAGTCCACCATCACTGTCCTAGAGGACAAAACTGAAGGTCAGAGGGGGCAGGGAACTTACTACCCACAGTCACATCATTTAGTGGTGGGAAAAACGCCAGTTTCCAGGCTTCAGGGCTAAGTATACTTTCCTCCACAGCCCTGGGGAACTGAAGAGACAAATACGTCTAAAACTTCCAAACCTTTTCTTAATTTCCTTACTGGGTAAAGGATTTTTGAAAAAAGATCCGGGCACTGACTGCCCCTCCTTGTTAATTTAATCATCTCTGTCTTTGTGAGTCAAGAGGAGGTAGCATCATAGCCTTCTACAGGTGCCCTGGCCCTGCGCCTCTGGCCACCCAAGTGACCTTGCCCTCTAACCTCTGCCTTCCCAGCTGCTGCAGATGTTCTACCGGCAACAAGAGGAGATCCGAAGGCTCCGGGAACTGCTGACCCAGCGAGAGGTCGAGGCCAAGCAGTTGGAACTGGAGATCAAAAACTTACAGATGAAATCTGGGCAGTTGTGAGCAAGGCCTCTGCCATCCCCGCCCTCAGGGACACTACTGGCTTTGTGGGGAGGTCCAAACCCAAGCCTCAACTTCCCCCAAAACGACCACTATTTCTATATTTTTATCAGAAAACGAAACTGTCAGTCACTGAAAGAGATTCCAGTGGGACGTGGTGCCGTTTTCTATTTGCCTTCTTGCGACAACAGTTTCTGCACTGACTCTGTTTTTAGATGATACTCTGCCTTCTGTTGACTCCTGTCTAAAGGTCCACCGTGAGCTATAATTTCTCAAGAGGACGAAAGAACATTTATGCAAAGTTTGCCTGGAAAAGGGGTTGGAGATTTAGCTCAGTGGCATAAGCGCCTGCCTTGCAAGTGCGTGGTCTTGAGTTTGATTCCCGGTACCGATAAAAGAAAAAAAAAGACCAAAGTTTGACTGGAAGGACCTGGGAGGTCAGCTCTCTGTGATGTTCAGGCTGTGCCATACAGAATGGGAGAATGACTCAGGCAGGAGCCCATTCCAACAGATGGCTCCTTCTGTGTGTTTCATATGTGTGCCTGTGAATGGAACACAGAATTCTGCCACTTGCCTGAATTTTTAGAGGTTTGAACTCTGACTCAGCTCCCTCATATTACAGGTGGGGAAACTGAGGCCCATGGAAAGGCAACTGAGGCGTGTTTGATGGCAGGACGAGACAGATCCTGGACCCCTGGGGTTTTGCTGCTTCTAGTCTGGTGCAGTTCTCAGCCCTCGAAGCAGGAACCCCCTGGTTCTGGTCTCGCTTGTCCATCTGAGCAGGAGGGCCCCTGGAAGGAGCTGCACCCCACAGAAACCTTGCACTCCATCCCACGTGTGAGATATTGACCTTAGAAACTACACGCTGACACAGAAGCTGAGGGGGATTGACCTGAAGGGATAAGTTAAGGTTCATCCCAGTTCTGCAATATAGACTGGGACTGGAAATCCTCCTTCCAGGCCAGAGTGAGCGGATGTGGGGAAAACACTGGTTCCTGCATGGAGATGCAGACCTTGGAGCTGAATCTGTGGAGTCCAGTCTATATAGCCTGCCTACACCATGAAGATATGGGCAGACTTCAGCCCAGGCTAACAAAAGAGGGCCCAGGAGGCCTGGGTGCTGGCAGAGCCCTGTGGCCACCAACCCACCAGTGAGGGTTTCTGGAGAGGGGAGGAAATAGCCCCCGATGGTCCTAAGTTACCTTCTGGCCTGGAGGTTTTTCTGTGTCCCTTCTTTCTTGCTTCTTTTTTGTTTTGTTTTTCTGGTACTGGTTATTGTTTCCAAGGCCTTCAAACTAAGCTACATCCCCAGCCCTTTTTAATGTTTTTAATTTGAGACATGGTCTCACTAAGTCCTCGGCTGCCCAAGCTGGGCTTAACTTGTGATCCTCCTGCCTCAGCCTCCCAGGCAGCTGGGATTACAGGTGTGTGCCACCATGCCTGGCTGCAGCCCTCCTTTTTTAATCTCTGCCCTGAACCCTACTCTAAGGCTCTTTCTTTCTCATGGTCAGTTCAGCAGCCTAGCCAGAGACTAAGAATGATAGGTAAAATCTGCCTCTCCTTACCCACGGTGGGTGGACAATAAGTTTTCCCCATCCCAGGGGTGACTGGAGCACATACGGACTGCAGAAGACATAGCCTAAGAGGTTTCAATTCATACTGTACAATAGAATCCCCTTGAGAACCTTCAGGAACTAGAGATGCCCAGACCCCATTCTGCATCCACCAAAGCTGAGTTTCTAGAGCCTGAGCCTCTGATTTTATAGCCGCCCCGGTGGTTCTGTAAAACAGTGAGGACAGATACCCCTGGACCAATCCCTAGGCCCTGTCTGCAGTAAAGATAAAGAGAGCAGTGAACCCCAGACAGGAGCTGGGACTCAAATACGGTACCAAACTGTCTTCGTCCCTCCCTACCAGGACTTGGCTGTCTGCAAACACCAAAGGCCTGTGTTCTTCGTCTTAGTCTCCATTTCCCCAAACCACCAGCCAAACTTGCCTTACTTTGCTTAGGAGCAAAAGGCCAAGTCCCAGGCACTGTCAGGGGAGCACAGCTGCCCTGGCTGGTGTCTGTCCCGCCCCATCTGTGGCCAGCACTTCACAGTTTACAAAGCCCTCCCACCTCCACTCATTGGCAGGTGTTGCAGTCCAGTGTTCAGAAGGGAAGACCTAGCCTCAGACAAGAGAAGCAACCTCAAGCAAGGCCACTGACTGCCCAGCTGGGAGGACAGGGTGGGAAGGGTGTTTGAGTCTGGAGAGCTTCCAGGGGCCTTCAGAAGCTGCCCCGGGGAGAACTTGACCTCACACTTGGAGACAGTACGCAGAGGGCTTCGAACAAACTTTTCTTTTTTTTTAAACACCTAGATAGAATAAATTATTTAAATTATTTCACAGCAAGGGAGAGGGATAGATAATTTTTATCGAATATTTTTAAAACTTTTTTTTAACTACATTTTTGTTTGTGTTCTTGAGCTGATGGAGTGGACTGTGCCTAGCCTGTAGGCAGTGTCTGCAGCGCATCTCCTCCTGCACCCCCCTTCGCCAGGAACCCCCTTCTGTTCACTCAGGAACTGTCCCTTGGAGATGAGCTTCTGTGGGTCCACCACTCACTATAGTGATAGCCCTTCCCGAGGGGAGAGTTGAAACCGTATCATAGAGGGACACAAGAAGTCAGGAATGGAGTGTAGCTTTTCACATAAAACTGTGCCTGAAACAGTTCGAGTGATTGTTTTACTGTTTCTGAAATCCCTTGTACCTTTGTTTAAAAAAAAAAAGAGAAAAAGAAAATGAAAATAGATACGGAATTGTGCAATGCAAAGAATGTAACAAAACAATAAACATCTGGCTCACATTTTAATAAATGAAACTTTGCTTTTCTTTATTTGTTCCACAAATACAAATTGGGAAACCACCTACCGTCTGGGCCAGAGAAACAGTGCAGACCAGGTCCTAACCACCCACCACACCACCTCCTGTCCCAGACCTGGCCAGGCCAGGCTGCTCTGGGAGGAGAACTGGGGATGGTGCCCTGAAGGAGGTGGTCAAAACCCCAAAACAGTGGAAGAAGGCAGGGCAAGGGCACTTGGGCAGCACAAGAGTGTTCTGGGGGGGGGGGGGCTGCTTGCTTCCCTCCGTCTGGAAAGGAGCAGTGTGCAGGGACCGAAGGTTGTGAAGAAAGAAGCTAAGACCTTGTAAGTTTTAGCCCTTGGGCAACTAGAGTTTCCCAGGGATTGATTTCTTACAGCTGTGGAAGTGGGCCCTCTAGGATAAGGTGAAGTCAGGGGTGTTGCTAAGCTGCGCCCTCTGGGAAGGGAACCCCAACCAGGTCCCACCTCGCTGCAGTCTGAGCGTCACCTTCCAGTTAGCCCATTAGGAGTGCAAGCCTGCTCTGCGGTGCCACGCTCACTCCAGGGCAGGCACGCGCAGCAGCCCGCTGGGGAGAGCGCGCAGTCCCTGGGCGGGACCCTGCAGCTCGCAGGCCGGCGCCCCGCTCCGCCCCGGGCCCGGTTTCGATTCCGAGGAGCCCCGCCCACACGTACTGCGGGAGCCGGGAGCGGTTGGCGCGAATGGCCAGCGCGGCTACCACGAGCCGGACCCCCGGGGGTCCCGGGGGTCCCAGTCCCGCCGGGGCTGAGGAGGCGCGCAGCTGGCGCTGCTCGGAGCACAGCGACCGTCCGGTTGAGCTCTTCTGTCGCCGCTGCAAACGCTGCGTGTGCGCGCTCTGCCCCGTGCTGGGCGCGCACCGCGGCCATCCGGTGGCCCTGGCGTGGGAGGAGGCGGCGCGCGTGCAGGTGGGGACCGCGCAGGCTGCGGGGCGCAGAACTGGGGGCGATCCAGGAGGAACGGGCAGGGTGTGCTTCGGTCCAGCCACTGTTAGGACCTAGAAAGCCGAAGGTGGTCAGCGGTCATCTAGGAGGTAGACCTAGAAACTGTGGCCCAGGGAAGGCAGAGGGGAGCCAAAGCCACCAGATAATCTTCAAAAGTGAGTGAGACCTGGGCGCCAGGCAAGTACCCAGCTGTCCTTGATGTCAGCCAGCATGGCAGGTCCACCAGAATGCGGTGGGCTGGAGGTCTTTCCATTCCCAGGGAAGCCCCCTACCTTCCCTCTTCCCAACCGTCAGAAAGCATCCCAGAGTGGCTCCAAAAAGCCAAAGCTTCTGGAGTTCACGGAAAATCATGACCTGAGGACTTCCCTGTTGGCTTGGGCGCAGCCTCAGCGGGCCCTCTTTCTCCCTGGGCCAATGGCTCATGCCCCGGTAAAGCTGCGCCCTTTCCAGAGCTTGACAGCCCTGGGCCGACTGTTTTTAGGATTGCAGCCTCTTTACGCATAACAAAAAAAAAGCAAGGCTCGGGAACTAGGGGCAGGCCTTGAACGCAGGGCCCTGCCGACAGGAGTGCTTCCCACAGAGCTGGTTCTCATCTTGAAGCCCTTGGCTCATCTAAACCCTGACTGATAGTGAACAGAGACCAGAGTCTCTGTGTTCTGCCTCCAGTGCTGGGGCCCTGATCTGATCTAATCCCTCCTCTCTGACTTTTGTTTGCTTTTTTTGTTTTGTTTTGTTTTGTTTTGTTTCTGAGACAGTTTGCCTAGATATTTCAGACTGGTCTTGAACTCATTATATAGCCCCAGGCTGGGAATCCTCTTGCCTCAGCCTCAAGTGTAGGATTGCAGGTATGCATCACCACCCTCAGCTCTTGCTTTTCTGTTTGTTTTGCGTTTTGTTGTTTTGTTTTGAGACAGAGTTTCACTGTATGATTGAGGCTGGCCTTGAACTCACTTTGTAGCACAGGCTGGTCTGAAACTTGTGGTGGTCTTCCTGCCTCAGCTTCCCATGCGCTGGGATTACAGGCTTGCGCCAGTGTGCCTAGCAACTGTCTGGCTTCCTGAAGGCTGGGCTCGGAAGGCCCTCCTGTCTCTGCAGACACTGACTTTTCCACTTCCAGTTAGCTGTACCTCATGATGCCCCGTTCTCTTCAGGAAAGCAACCTTGGAACACCAAGGAGAATTGGGCCTATGGGGACAGCCTGGCTGATGGAGTGCTGGTTACAAGACCTTACTCCAAGAGCCTTCCTCTTAGTGTCTATAAAATAGCTGTGATAATAGCTGGGTGTCGTGGTGGCACAGCACTCTGGAGGCTCAGGCAGGAGGACTGCCAGGAGTTTGAGGCCAGCCTGGGCTATGTAATGAGTTCAAGGCCAACATGGACTATATATCAAGACCCTGTCTCAAAACACAAAACAAACAAAAAATTAGTAATAGTGATAGCTCCTCAAAACCGTGTTAGCGTTAACAAGGCTGCTTTCCAGAGGTACAGCTGAAAGGTCTCCTTCAGCTGTTTACTTGCACATCTTGGCTGCCCCCCGCCTATAAGTACCCGTCTTGGTTTCCACACCACATTCACTCACCTACCCGTTTATCCATTATGATTTCATCATCAGTATGTCAGTGTGTAATTGTGCCATGAATCAAGTTGTAAATCACACCCTCCCCTAATTTGGAGGAGTTGCCTGGCTGGAGGTAAGCAGGGGACATAGTGACAATACGGTGTGATAAGTACTGTCACTGAGAGGTCAGTGACAGTGTTGGGTGACAGAGGGAAGATGTGGAAACCAGGGGCAGGAAGCCTGAGAAGACTTCAGGGGAAAGTGCCTTGGAAATGACCTTGAAGAGTGACTAGGGCTGTATTAGGTCCGAAGACAGAAGAGGTACTGTGGCTGGAGGGCGTAGACAGACACCTGGAGCCTGAAGTTATCGTGGAGCCATGATGGACAGGAGCTGGCTTAGAAATCACAGTGGCCGGGCTGTACTCCTGGAAGTTGAGACCAAGGCTCACGCTTGAGTTGTGGTTGTGCCCCTGCCTAGGTTAGAACTGCACACAGTAGCAGACCTCAGGGATGTTTAAGTGATGAAAGTGCATGAGTTGAGCAGATACATACTGTTTGTCACGCATCCTGGGCACATTCAGTAGTCTCTACAGCTGCCCTGTTTACAGTGGAGGAAACGGCAGTCAGTTTGCAGAGGAAGTGGAGGTTTCATGAAGGGCTATGACTCATACCTCGGTCTCCTCTCACTCTGGCCTCGTGCTGGGAACAGCGCTCCTGGGGCTCCCAGCTCTTTGAAACAGGCAGCCCCTGTAATCCCATTTGATTCTTTCTCCCCGCCACACACCAGCCATGTCCCCTCCCTTGGGGGCCGGAAGTCAGGCCAGAAGCCGAGAGTGTGAGGCCGGCTGTAAGGAAGGCTGAGGTGGGAGAGGGAGGCCTGAGCAGGCCTTGAAAATCCCACGGCATAGGAAGGTGGGGGGATGCATGAAGACTCTGAGGCCCCGCTTGGGTGAAGGCTGTGACCCAGTGGTCAGTACTCACATTTTTCCTAACCTCTCTTGTCTAGAAACTCATCCAAGAATGTCTCGAGCATTTGGCAATCAAGAAGCAGCAGTACATTGGCAACGTAACCCACATAGAAGGTGCTGCTGAGAAGCTCAAGGCAAGTGATGTTTCCTCCCCACTACAGGGTAGATGTCCACATTCCCATCCCCAGAACAGGTTCCCCCCACGTGGAGCCTCAACAGGGCACTCAGGGGTCATAGGGCCTGGGGCTTCTATAATTCAGGAGCCCTCTTTGCGAAAAAGTGCACAAAATTGCACATTTTGGTGCAAGGTCATGAAGGAGGTATGTAAACAAGGGGCCCAAGACTCCTGTTCCCTTAGCCTTGTGGAGATTCGGTCTTTGCCCAGCGCCCCAGCCCTATGCTACTGCCTCAGAAGGTGAGGAAGAAGAACAGCCTTTTCTCCAAGACCCTGCATTGCCTCAGTCTTGGAGGAACCAGTCCTTCATCCCCAGGCCTCAAGCTGCCATAAACAAAGCAAAATACAAGCTTTGTGGCACACAAACAGTTCCAAAGATTTCCCAGCCATGAAGGGAATGAAATAGGGCATAAATTTATTACATAAATATTTTCTTCAGGCTTCTACTTTCATTTAATGTTTAAATAGATTCTTTTGGGAGTTTGCCTGGAAGTTAGGGCTTACATTTTTGGGGGTCGCCATTTTGAGGAAGTCGCTGAGTCTTTTAGAGACTTCTGTGGGGACTGAAGCTGCGCCCCTTTCCCTCTTGGCCCTAGCTGCTTCCTCCTTGTGGTGAGGACTGGCTTGGGTCTGCCCAAAGGTCTGCCCCACTCAACCTATGACTGACCCACACAAGGCAAGGAAGAAGACACTATGGCTATGGGAAAGCTAGCACTAGGTCTTGCCAAGACCACCCTGAGGCCGGGAGGCCATTGCATGCTGGGGCTCAGGCCAGGCCATGGAATTGACTCCATCCCTTGTCTATAAGGGAGCCTCATGCCCTGATGTGCTGGGGACCTTGGTTTGCACTTACAACGTAGCCCCAGTTTAATTATTAATTGTCCCTCATGTTGTCAAGAGTGGCACTCTGAACTTAGGAAGGTAAATCAGGTCAAAGGACATGGTAAGTCAAAGGTGGCAGGTTGGAAAGTGACTCCTCCAAGGCTGTTCAGCTTGAAGAACAGCAGAGGCACAGGACCACTGTCTACAAATATCTGACCAGATATAGTTTGGGGACCCCCAGGGGAAGAATTAGGACCAGTACAGAGGGCCTAAGAGAAGGCCTGGGCAGCTTTCAGAAACTTTTTTGACTTTTTATCTTGAAGTAATTATAGATTCACAGCAAACTGCAAAGATAACGTAAGAGAAGGCCTGGGCAGCTTTCAGAAACTTTTTTGACTTTTTATCTTGAAGTAATTATAGATTCACAGCAAACTGCAAAGATAACGTAGAGAAGCTTTGAGTACTGTCACCTATTTCCCTCGAGTAACTATATGTAATAAACTATATATAATACAGTGTTAAAACAAGAAAATTGGCAGGATCTTTGTTAGAATTATTTAACCATTGGTTTTACATCTTACATTTTTTTCTGTAGTTTTACAGTTAGTAGTTTTCATTTTACGAGGATGTGGTGGCACACGCTCGTAATCCCTGCTACTCAGAAGACTGAGGCAGAAGGATCAAAAGTTTTGAGGCCAAGCAGAGCAATTTTGCAAGACCCTATTTCAAAATACAGTAAAAAGGACTGGGAATATAATTCAGTGATAGGTACTTGCTTAGCATGCTTAGAGCCTTGGGTTCCATTCTTAATACTACCAAAAACTTTAATTAATTGATGTATATAATTTATACCAGCTATATAGTTGTGTGAGGCTCTTCTGAGTTCTTTGTTCTGTGTGTGTATCTCTCTACCAATGTTACACAATTATAATTACTGTAGATGATAATGGGTCTTAAAAATAACTGATACCTCCATTTTTTTTGTATAATACTAGGGACCGAACTCGGAGTCTTTGCATTGAGCAACAGCCTCAACCCTTTTTTTGAGGCAGGATCTTACTGAGTTGTTCAGAGAGGTGGAATTCATGATCTTCCTGCCATGCTTTCCCAGAACATTGAGGTTTCAGGCCTAGGCCATCATATTTGCTTTTTCCAAAACTATTTTATCTTTTCTAGTTTCTTTGCCTTTGTATTTAAATTTTAAGATAATCTTGTGTGTATCTTTAAGAAAAGATATTGTTGGGATTTTGATAGGAATTGAGTTAAATTTGTGTATCAGTTTTGGGGAGAGTTCCCATCTTTGCTGTATTGAATCTTGCTGTCTCTCATTGATATTTGTATTTTTCATCATATAAATCTTTACATGTTTTGTTAGACTTATACCCAACTATTCCTCATAAGGTAAAAGAAAATTGGGGAAAAAATAAAAGAAAAATGGAACTAGTGGTCAGAATGTTATTGTTTATTATTTGTTTGTTTGTTGAGACAGGGCCTTGCAGTGTAGTGCAGGCTGGCTTTGTGTTCACTGTGTAGCCCATGCTGGCCTCGAATTCACAGTGACCCTCTTGCCTCAGCCTCAGCCTCCTGAGTGCTAGTATTACAGATGTGTACTACCATACCCAGCAGTGGTCAGAAATACTTACCCAAAAATTTGGGGTTAGAAAAATAAGAAGGTGTTACCACCTTTCATCTGCATCCTCTGGCCTCAGCCTCCCAGGTGCGGGGATTACAGGAATGCACCACCAGACCCAACCCAGATCTGTTTTTATATTAATGTTATAGTTCCAGAAATGCAGCTTGAAGTTTGTGTAATGACTGCCTATTTGTGTGTTCGTGTGTTTTGCTGATGATTCTCTTTGCACCTAAATAACCCTAATTGAGTAACTAGATTCCTTCCCCTTTCCTTGGCTCAGTGAGTGGAATTTTTATAGTCCTTAGCTCACAGATGGAGCAGTTCTTTATGACTGTGGCTTCGTGTAAGTGACCCCCTTCCCTTTCCCAGCTAGAATGGGTCCAAGTGCCCTGAGCTCCCCCAAAGTGGCCAGTGTGTGTCTGCTGTGTGTCTCCTACCTACATACAACTCCAACTCCACCTTTGCCAGGATCACCTGACTTCAGTTCCTGTCCCACGGCACTAAGTTGCCTGATCCAGGCTCCAACTTGGAATCCTTTTGCTTCAGCCTCTCAGATGACAAGCATGCACTACCATGCCTGTCTGTATCTTAGCATTTCTATGTGTTTGAAGAAGGAAGGAGGATTTTCCATCTCCTCTCCTCCTCTACCCCGCCCCCCCACCAAGGTACTAAGAATTGAACTTAGGGCCTTTTACATTCATGGCAAGCACTCTACCACAAGCTACCTCTAGCCCTCTTTCTCCTTTCTTGGGCAAAACTACATTGTGTTAGTTGCTTTCTCTTGTGGCTGAGACAAAATGCTTGATGTCCAAAATGAAGGAAGGAAAGGTCTATTTAGCCCACAGTTTGTGGAAGTTTCAGTTCATAATCAGCTAGGTCCAAGGCAGGGTGGCATAGCACAGGGACAAGGCAGCAGAAGACAGCAAAAGCAAGACTCTTCTCCTCCCTTGTGTTGTCAGCTGGCCACCACCCCCCAGGGCAGGTGTAGCACTCACACCATCTCTGTGCCTTTCTCTTGCACAGGATGAGGATGTTTACAAAGGGAGTACCGTGACCCCCTGCTGAGTTGCTAAAACTTCTAAACTTCTCAAATTGAGGCAGTGTGTCAACCATAACATACATGTCACTTTGTGTATGTTGCTTGTTTGCTTAAACATTTTTTTCTGTTATCAGAATATTATTTGTCAGGCCAGTGATATAGCTCAGCAGCACAGCACCTACCTGGCAAGCACAAAGTCCTGAGTTTGATTCCTGGTACCTACAAAATAAATAAATAAATAAGATCATCATACAAAAAAAATATATAAATATATATATAGTTTGTTATTGTCAATATATATTTCTTTAATGTGGGGTCTCACTATGTTGCCCAGCCTGGCCTTGAACTGTGGGACTCAAGCGGAACTCTTGCCTTGGCCTCGTGATCAGCTGGAAGTTAGGGTGAGCACTACCATGCTCTGCCTAGGGACTTCATAAACCTAGGAGCCTTTCTGCTCTAACGGCTTGTGCACATTCTCTGCCCGTGCCTTGATGCAACAACAGTAACACTTTGGGCGAGGAGTACTGGGGAGCGAACTCACCAAGCTTGCCAGACAGGTGCTTGTGCCCCTGAGCTACATCCCTGGCCCCAGCCAGTCATGATTTATTGTCACCTTATTTCATTTCCTGCAGGACCCACTCCTGGAAGTGCCACATTAACAGCAGGCATAGATCTGTGTCAGGACCCAAGTGGTGCTGGGCCACGTTGCTGGACTTGCCCTGCTGCCCATGCTTATTTACAGAGTCTGTTCTCAGGAAAGGGCCATGTGCATGGGAATTAAGCCATAAAACAGCTTCATAAAGAGATCAGTGAGGTCCCTACAGAGTCCAAAGTCTCTTATGCAGAAGTCGGTGAACCGGCCTAACCAACCACACCTTTTCAGAGGTCAGCTGGGCCTTTCCAGATGGACTTGGTCCTTAATCTCCGACCAACACCCATTATCAATGCCCTCTCACATCCTTGTTAGCAGGCTGTCTGCTTCTGTAGGATGGCTCCTTAGGGACCGATGTGCACAGGTGCAGGGAAATCCCAGCTCTCGCCTGCAGCCTGGACTTGGTGCTTAGACTGAGAGTAGAAGATGATAGCAGAAGACTGTGTCCTTTCTAAATATATCTAGCAGTGCTCTTTGGATATTTTCATAAATGAGAAAAGAAGGGATATGTTTGTACATACACATGTGTATGGGCATGTAGACATTTATTTATCTTTTAAGACTGGCTGCTGTCTGTTGAGTTGAAGCGTAGTTGGGGATATGCAATGTGCACAGCCACAGAACTGAAAGGCCCTTTCCTCTGTAAGGGTGTCTGGGCTGGGTGTGGGGGACACCTGTAGTCCCAGGTCCTCTGCAACTTACTGCTTTTCATGGGTGCCTTGAAGCGTTTTCCATGCCAGCACATTTCCCCCCTCTTTGGTATTGTTTTATGATAGTAAAATATGCATAACAAAATAAAGTATTTTTAGTCCTTTTTAAGTGTTTGCTGAGAGGCAAGAATTATATTCACAATGGTGTACAGTCGTCATCTTTATCTATTTCTAGAACTTTTTCATTACCCCAAAGAGAGACTCCGAAACTACTGAGCTCTCCTATCCCAATCCCCTTCTCCCAGCCCCTGGTCACCTCTACTTCTCTTTCTGTCTCCACGGATTTGCCTGTCCGAGGTATTTCGTAAGTGCCAACATGCATTATTTCTTTTCCCTTAGGCTGGTGTTTTCAAGGTTCATCGTGTTGCATGTAATCCCAGCATTTAGGAGGCTGAGGCAGGAGGATTGCCACAAATTCAAGGCCAGCCTGGACTACATAGTGAGTTCACAGCCAGCCTGAATTAAAAAAAAAAAAATTACTGTATGAATGTAGCATAATTTATATAACTAAGACATACACATGTCCCATATCGAAAAATATGCCAAATTGTCCTCTATTCTGTATGCGTAAATGCTACCATGACAATCTTGGTACACAAATCTTGATACATATGTGAATATTTTTTCTAAGACCAGTTCCTATATGAGGAAATAACCTCTTTATAAAAGTAGTAATCTTCTTAGTTAGGGATATTATTTTTGTTTTTCTTTTCTTTCAATCAGGGATCAAACTCATGACCTCATACTTGCCAGGCAGGTGCTTGTGCCGCTGAGCTCAATCCCCAGCCCCAGGAGTATTGTTTTTACCTTCCATGTAGTCAGGGCTTTTTTGTGTGTTTTTCGTTTTCTAGGTCTTTCATGTTTTTGTTAGATTTAGTTGTAGATATTTTGCTACTTCCTTATTTTAAGAAGAATATCTAGGTCTTTCATGTTTTTGCTAGATTTAGTTGCAGATATGTTGCTACTTTCTTATTTTAAGAAAAATATGTTTGTCCGTGCATTTCCCAGTCCGTGATGGATAGTGCTCAGAAAAGCTCTGGTTTTTACAAGTTGATCTTGTGCCTAACTGACCACCCTGCGGAACTTGCTTTGTAGACTTTAAAATCTTTTTCATTTTGATTATCTTGTGTCTCCTTGTTGGCAAACTCAACTCTGCAATTGATTTTCTTTTTAGGATCATGCAGAGTCAAGTAAAGCCTGGCTAAAGGAGAAATTCACCGAATTCAGATTGCTACTTGATGAAGAGGAAGTGCTGGCCAAAAAATTCATTGACAAAAACATGCAACTTGCCCTGCAGGCATACAGGGAGCAAGTTGAGTCTTGCAAGAAGCAAGTTGACATCTTGGATGATCTTGCCAGCAGGGTCTGGGGTATTGGGCAGGAGCCCAACCCTATCCAGCTCCTGCAGGTAACACTGGGGTTTCTGCCCTTACTGATGCCACCTGCCACCACACCCCTTTGCACTTACTGTGGCACTGAATACAGTGTTTACTCAACAAGTAAATGCACAGATCTTTGCTTTGTCAGCAGTCGGACTTTCTTTCCTGCACACAAGTGGCCAAGGATCTAGGTGTGGTGATGCACACCTGTAATCCCAGCACTCTGCAGGCTGAGGTTAGAGGATCACCGTGAGTTCAAGGCCACCCTGAACTATATAGTGAGTTCACAGCCAGCCTGAACTACACAGCAAGAGCCTGTCTAAAAAAATAAAAAACAAGTGACCAGAGAATATACATTGTTAGGGAGATAATATACATCTTGGGCTAATTAAATGACTTAACAGCCACCAATTTCAAAGGCTTCTGTGCTGAAAGCATTTTAAGTATCTTAGCTTGGATATTCATTAGAACTCTGCACAGTGGGTATTCTCATCCCACTTTATGCATGAGAACTCAGAGTTTGGGTTCCAGGTTCACACAGCTGGAAGGTGGCAGAGCTGAGATCAGAACCTGGGTTTGGCTTTAAACCCACAAGGCACCTTGCCTGGCCCTCTGCTATGGAGTCTTAATCAAGACGCATACACCCTTCTAAAGAGTCTCACATCATAAGACACAGTTTCCAGGCTTTGACATCTCCTTTTTTTATTCTCTGCACCAAAGCTCCTGATTGTAATCATTCACCATCCCCTCCTTCTGTTTGTTCATTCATGTAGTCATCAAATATGCACTTAATCAGGCATCTGCTGGAAATGAGAAACTCATCATGGGATGGGGAGACATGCTTAGAGTTACAAGATAGCTCAAGCAAGCTAGCAAAAGTATATGTAATTTATACCTCAATCTCTATAGAGAGAGGGGTCCAGGAAGACTTTCAGGAGGCAGTGTGGAGCTGGCTAAGGGAAGATGAGTGGCTACAACACAACAGAGAGGATGGCCCAGGCAGGAAGGAGCTGTGGACATGTGAGTGCTTGGCAGGCTGGAGAACTCCCTGGGGTCCGCTTGCCTAGAGGAAGAGGGGGTGAGGTCAGGTCAGTTCGTGCAGAGCCATATGCACCAAGCCATAGGTTTAAACTTCACCCTGTATGGTGATGGGTTCATGGGTGTGTGCTGAAGGGTGGAATGAAAGCACTGACTCTTGGACACCCTTCCCACCATGCCAGTTATTGGAGACCCCTGCAGAGGGTCCCAGTCTCCTGCTCGGGTTGCAGTTGCGGTGCACGCTAGGAAAGGAAAGGAAGAGCAAGAGACAGAGCAGACTGGGTGCGTAGCAAGGACCTGGGACCACCAGTTGCTCTGTAGAAACAAAAGGCCCCAAATCTCCATCTAACCACCCTTTTATTAGGCAGTACAGGGGAGGGGATAGAAACAGTGGTTAAGTGGGCAAGTTTAACATCATAAAGGAGCCAGCCAAGATCCATCCCACACCTGGGTGCTAATCTCATTGACCAACAGGATTTCTAGGATTTCTGAATTCCAAAATCTGCCCTGAGGCAGGCTGGGCATGAAGAGTCTGGGACAGATACTATGTCAGTTTACAATTCATGGTCCTCAACAAGTGACATAGTCAGGTTACTGCTGGAGAAAGATCATATTGGTGACAGGACAAGGGTTGCTCTGGGGAGACCAGGACTGGAAGCTGGACAGGAGGCTGGACTAGGGAGACTGTGTGGTCCAAGAGAGAGATGGTGTGGCCTGAACCTGGGTGGAGGCAGCAGGGGAGATGGGAAGCAGGAAGGTTCAGACACAGTGGGAATGGAGATGGGAACTGGGGATGAGAGGGCAAGATCCAAGACGGTGCCTGAGTTTCTTGTTAAGAGTTTTCTGGTGCAATAGAGAAGCGAAAAGTACAAAAAAGAAAAGAACAGGTTTATTGAGTGATAGGATTATTTCCAAAAGATGAAAAATATTTCCAAAAGATGAGAAGTATAAAACAAAAAGCGGCCTTTATTCTGAGAACACAGAGAGATGACAGGCACCCCCCACCGCTGGTGTCCAGCGATCTCTCCAGCGGACACGTGGCGTGGGGGTATGTAAGTAGTCTCGGTTTGGGGTGGAACCTAAAGAGGGGATTAGGGATGCACAGGTAGCCCATTGGTCCTAGGTTTCACACCATAGGTAAATTCCCAGGGATGGGGAAGACAGCGTTACAGGTAAATTCCTAGGGGCGGGGGAGATGGGGGCTTCCTGGTTCCACTTGAGGTTTTCCTGGCTACAGTGTCCTGTCTGGGCCAAAACCCTTTCATATCCCATCTTATGATTATTATTATGAAAAGGAGCGAAGATTTCTCTCTTTAACTACTTCCTGCTGGCAGAAGGCACTGTACTGGAGCCTAGGGGAGTCGACGGGATGACGGTCGATGCCCAGGTAGAAGCTGGTGCCAGGTGTTTTAGCCAGGACAACTTCACTGGTGAATGCATGTATGTTAGACTGGAAAAACAAAGAGACAAGATGTTATGAGGAGACATGGCACTGTCATATTTAAGGACCCAGGTGAGGTAAAGGGAAAGGTGCCTTTGATTTAGACATGTCATTCTATCAGGACGACACTGAGGTAGGAACATTTCCATGGTAAGGCAGAATTCTGAAAATTAAATGTGGGGTTAGGAGGAGTGAAGTTATGAGAGGTGTTTACTCCCCCATCTGAAAGCATAAAAGTTAAAAAGTGTAGGTGTGTAAGGCTTGTCTTTGTTATGCATGACGTTGGAGTCTGTAGGCAATACTGTTAAAGAGTCCTGCTATAAAAATGATCATTAATAGAACGTAAGAAATTAGGAACCAAAGTGGATAACAAAACATGACAACCTATGAGTCGTGGCCGTGAGGCCTTGGTAAGGCAGAGATGAGTAGGAAAAGGATGGTCAGATCTAGGGCCTGAGTGATGCAAAACCAGAGTGGCAGTCTAACAAATTTGATTGCTGTTGAGGTTACCAAGAATATCAGGTATGGGTCACTGTAACCTGGTTGTGGTCCTTGGAATGATTTGCTGCAACAGAATTTTAGCAAGTATATCAGCAGATTCCCTGGTTGTGAGAAAGGCTTTTATGTATCCTGAAAAAGTATAAACAAAGTAAGAAGACAAAATGTATCTGTCAGTCTTGACTAGGGTTACCTGAGAAATTGGTAAATAAGAAAGGAAGGGGGTGGTCTTATATCACTGAGGAGAGGTTTACTAACAATAACAGGTGTAAGCTGTTGAGGCCTCAGTATGTCTAAGTCAGCCTATATAAAAGGCATTTTAAGATTTAGGACTGGGACCTGCATGAAATAGGCCCTGTTTGTAAATGGCATAGGTTGACCATCAATACCCCGTCATAGAGATTGAGGACTTATTATAGCAGCCTAAAAACTCAGGAAGAACTCTGTATATATGGCCTCTATGTCCATAAATATAGAGAACCTTTTACCTGAGAGTTTAATGTGACTTGGGTTCTGAGACGGTCCCTTAAAGGGGACTGTTGTTGCCCTGAACCCCCTCAGTCTTCGGCAGCAATTTTTGTCGATGATGAATCTGGCAGTGTTGACATTTCCTGTGAGGGCTAGAAGTTAGGATGGCTTACCCACTCTCTGGTGGCTAGGACAGTCAGGTGGCCCTGGAGTAAGGTTTCAAAGAACGCCAGGATGGGGCATTTTCTTGCCCAATGTCTTCTGCTGCATTTGAGCGTGGTCCATGGGGGGCCAGGCAGCTCCACCTTGTGTAGGTCTACCTGCCTCAGAACTCTAAGTGTCAAAAGTGTTAAAAATATGAAAAACCATATTAAGACCTTTCTAAGGTTTGAAGGTCAAGTTTTGCCTTTTGTTTGGGATTTGGACTACAGTAGAATTAAGTAAGTATGCAGGAGTTTAATATTGGCATTTTAGATCAGAGAGCAGGCTTTATCTGGATGGCATATCACTTTTGGGGTGTTGTGTGGAATTATATATTTAATTAAAAAGACTTTAGTCTGCCCTCCCCCTTTCGGAGTATAATCTCATTTTAATGGAAACATTTATCAGTAAAGGTTTATCAATCTTATGAAAACTTTTACCAAAACTGATCTAATATTTTGAAATTCTGAACACATTTATTTGCTCTTAAATCTAAACAGGAGATTGGCAACAACAGAGTATAATGTAGGCAGTAAGCCACAGGCAATAAGCTCAACATATAACAGTTGTGGTGGTCTACAGCAAAAGGAATTGATAAATATCTTTTAATTTTAGTCATTAAAACAGGAGATTAGTGAAGGCCTTGATTGATAAACAAGGCTGGTAAAATTATCAGGTGGCCAATAACCTTGATTAAATGGTTTAAGAATTGTAATAAAAAGGGGCTGGGGATTTAGCTCAGTGGCATAAGTGCCTGCCTTGCAAGCAGGCAGTCATGAGTTCGATCCCTGGTACCGATAAAAAAGGAAAAAGACAAAAAAAAACAAGAATTGTAATAAAAAATAGCATCTCTTGAGTGGAGACAAACTGTAAAAAAAGCATGCCTGAGCGGAGCCGCTGAGCTGCTGTTTTGCGGCACGCCAGCAGAGCACACCTAGCATGGGAGTGGGGCAAGTGTCGGGGCGTAGTGCGCAGGGGCTGGCTGGGACTGCCCCTGAAAATGCGTAAGGTGGTGGCAATGATGGCGGCACACAGGGGAGGGAGGGGCTGGGATGGCGCATGGGGGAGGAGCTGGGAGGTGGCCCAATGCAGTGCACGAAGTTGGAACTGCTCTCAGGGCTCGAGGATTAGAAAGCTGATTTAGGAACACAGCTGGGTTTTTATTAGCTTCCTGGACCTGTTTTAAAAGTTTGTTATAGTTAGTATGCTTGTCCTGCTCTGGCACAGCTATAGGCCCAGGGCATTATCAGCGGTGTTTACCTTATGTCTGTGATCAGCTTCTTCTCGAGCTGCTTGCCACAGCTGATTTTGCTCTTGTGAGCTGAGAGTGGTATTTAGTATCACATAAACATCCTTAAAATGTAAATCATAACAATTAGTAATAAATTTAAATTGCCTGATATAATTTTGTGGGTCAACAGAGAAGCTACCTAATTTATGGGTAATCTGAGATAGATCAGAAAGGGAAAAAGGCACATGGATGTTAACAGGTCCCTCGGGGCCAGCTTGCTCCTGAAGTGGTAGCAGAGCCTGAGGAGAAGATTCCGGAGCAGAGGGCCATTGGGCAGCCATCCATCCAGCAGGCGCGTGTGAGCAATCATCTGTAGAGCAGCTATAGAGCTGCTGCCAGTCACCCTGGGAAACATAGGCAGATGGCATCTCACTGTGTGCCTTTGCAGTGAGAGGATTGCTGTCGGCAGCACAATGAAGCATCACGTGCACTGCAACAGGGCGGCTGTTGCAGTTCACAAGAAGAGCCACAAGGGGGCGCCCATTAGCAGTGAGGGTCCTGGGAACATGGCGGCACCCGGCCATGTGGCGGAGGGTTGTAACATGGCGGCCTCTTCCCAGTGCAAGCTGGAACAATCATGCAGCCTGCTGGAAGGACATAGCGACAGAGACCTAGTATGGTGGGCGGGCGGTGAGAATGCTGTAGGGGATAGAGAATTCTCAGGAGAATAAGAAGTCGGAGACTGCGAGGAAGCGCTAACAGAGGGATTAGAGCTGCTGGGAGAGTTATGGGTCCTGAGAGATGGAGGAGAAGACAATCACACAGCAGGAGATAACGGTGAGGAACCATTTTGGGGGTAAGGAGGCGGCGGCCGGGAAAACACCAGAGGAATGTCATCAAGTGAATCCTGAGGGCAGGATGGAAAAGTTTGCGGCGCAGTAGAGTTAGCTAAAAGTATCTCAGCAGGAGCACAAGACTTAATGAGAGACGGGCATGTTCTCAGAATAAGAAAGGCCTGAATATAAGGGAGTTCTAATAACTTGTTGCTGGCCTGACAGAAATACAAATTCCTGAGAATGCAGGGGTCAAATGCTCCTTCCTTGGGCCAACGCTTGCCGATAAGTGGATAGGTTGGCCAGACCTCCTGGCGGTAAAAAGTTAATAGTTTAGTTTTTAATGGTACTTTTAATTTTTAAAGTACGTAAATTGGAAATTAGGCATTGTAAAGGCGTCTTTGGGAGTTAGAAAATATGTTTCCCATGATTGATTCAGGCAAGAAATAAGCCATGGTCCAGAGAACAAGCCATCACTTGTTTGTGGCACCACATGGAGGCTACAGTTCCAAAAACTCATATATTCCAGTCACTGAGAGATTTATGAGTGGAGCCCGCGTGGGGTCAGTAACAGTTTTTCCCGTGAAAGCGCGAGGCTTTAAGGGAAGTGAGGGTCTTTCAGTGTGGGCGGTCCAAAAATCTCTGCTTTGGGCTATCCGAACCCAAAGAACGTGAGAGATTTTAGAGTGTGGACACAGGTTTGCCCAGAAAGAACTCTGCCCTGGGCTGTCCTAAGGACGTGAAAATGCACAGACCCACGTGAACAGGGAGAACAGTTGACTGGGGCTGTCCAGTGCCAAGAGTTCCCTGGAGAGTGCTCACCTGAAATCAATCTGGCCGATGGTGAGTGCAGGCGGCTGGCAACAAGGACGTCTTGGGAAAGGAAAAAGCGCGGAATTAATCCAGGATGTTATCTGGTTTGTGAATCGGCTGGGGACTCAACTGGGTGTGTCCCAGGAGTCAATCGCCTGCCAATCGAGTCATGGCACCAAATGATAGGATTATTTCCAAAAGATGAAAAATATTTCCAAAAGATGAGAAGTATAAAACAAAAAGCGGCCTTTATTCTGAGAACACGGAGAGAGATGACCGGCAACCCCCACCGCTGGCATCCAGCGATCTCTCCAGCAGACACATGGTGTGGGGGTATGTAAGTAGCCTCGGTTTGGGGTAGAACCTAAGGGGGCATCAGGGGTGCACGAGTAGCCCGTTGGTCCTAGGTTTCGAGCCATAGGTAAATTCCCAGGGGCGGGAAGATGGCGTCACAGGTAAATTCCCCCCCCAGGGGCGGGGGAGATGGGGGCTTCCTGGTTCCAGTTGAGGTTTTCCTGGCTACAGTGTCCTGTCTGGGCCAAAACCGTTTCGTTGAGGACATGGAAAGGAGCACACAACCCATGGCAGCTGGGCTGTGTCCGACTAGATACGGAGAGGCAGAGGGTTTTATGACCTCTGATTGTAAGTGGCGCAGTGGGTGGATATTGATGACGTGTGAGGAACTGATTGGAATTTTCTTTGTGTGCAAACAGGAGAGGGAGTTTCAGTTAGGGCTGAAGGAGGAGGAAGTAGTAAGCATTCCCACTTTGTCTTCCACCATGTTAGACCACCACCATAACTGTGCACTAATTTATCCCAGGGCAAGAACCTTTCGTTTCTGGTTTGTGTGATGGGATCTGCTACCTGCATGGGCCAAAGGCAAGAAGCGGAAGTACTTGATTTCACCCATTCGCTTATTCCATCCTATGTGTTCCGAGAACCTACCAATACAGGGGAGAGAAACTCCCACCCTGCTAGGTATCTGAAGTGTGGCGTTCATGTTCTGTAAAATTGAGAGATGAATTCTAGGAACAACGGAGGTTAAGAGTAGGGAGAATTTATTGAGGGATAGAATCGGGCCTGGAAAATGGATTGCTTGGCTGACCCCACTTCTCAAGAGTGTTTTATTGAGCAAAGCCATGAGGTGAGATGGGTTCAAAGTAGGACAGAACTATAACCAATCAATAAGATTACAAGTATGGTTGCTTAGGTAATATTGATCCAATGGAAGATTGTAGGATGAATGTGAGGTAGGACAAAAGTGTGTTTGACCAATAGGATTGCAGCAAGTACAGTTGCTTGGGTAATATTGGTTAAATGGGAATCAAACTGGGAAGCCAGTCACGCAGTAAGCCATGGGATGGATCAGGACTTTGCTGGAACGGATAGGTTAAGGAGGTTTGGTCCTCTACCCTAAGGTGATGGATGCCTACTTGGAATGATCACTGCTCTTCATCCCCAGGGGAAGTAGATGGATGAGTGGTTTCTTTTTTCTTGAAGCCTGACCCTCAGTGAATGCATCTCCCGCCATAGTTGTCTCCTGCAGTGACCTCAAGGACTCAGTCCTGTCTGACTGCCTATAATATTTCTACCTAATTTAGCTGTCTGTATTACTACTGTGTGTCAGTCCCCTGGCCAGATGCTGAAGTTTGGGGTCACCAGAGAGTGGCATTTTCTTCTGTGGTCCCCTGTCTCACTCCGTCTACCCAAGTGTCCCCTGGACCAGCCTCCCACCGTTGTGAGTGCAAAGCAGGCTGGGAGAGTGAGTTTCCTGGCCTTGGCGAGGCTAAGCCACATTACTCAGTATGGAATGGGTGCTGCGGTCCCTTCAGAGCTGATAGGAACAGCTGGGCTGACCACAGGAGAGGAGACACGGTGGTCCTGGCCAGCTGGCACAGATCTGTTCACAGTGCCACGGCCACCCTGACCCTGTGTCCCCCACACAGGCATATACAGCCACGGAGCTGGAGATGCAGCGGCACATGAGCCTCGGGGAGCTGAGCCATCCTGTGCCCCTGTCGTTTGAGCCCGTCAAGAGCTTCTTCAAGGACTTCATGGAAGCCTTGCAGAGAACATTACAGACACCACTGGACATTCGCCTGAAGGAAAGTGAGTGGGCCTGCGACTACTTTGGGTCCTTACCTCCCTTAGTGCCTTGTGTCCCAGATGCAGCTGCAGAGGTGCCACCCAAAGCCACATCTCTCCCACATGGAGGCCCTTGGCTGGGTGGTCAAGGGCTCCTAGGCCTGGCGTTCATCCCCCGTATGACTTCCAGGGTCACTTCTTACCCTTCCTGAGACCGTATCTTGTCAGCCAAAAGGCTGTGCTTCTGACCAGACTGTTCTGACCCAGCTCTAGGGTCCTAGAGGATCCCAGGCTCCTCTTCTTCCTCTGCCTGGAGCCAGGCCGCCATCCCTGCCAGGCAGGCAGGCACCTGTTCTGCTCACCTCTCCTCCGACCACACCCTTCCTCCTTTCGTACAGCAGGGCCTGACCGGGGCATGGGTGAGGTGGACACAAGGGCCTCTCCTTGCCCCTTGTAAATATCTAAATGTTGGGTCCAGCTCTGAGGTGCTCACAGGGCCTGTACAAAGCAGGAACTCAGTGTTCTAGCTGGGCATAGTGGTGCATGCCTATAATTCCAGCCATCAAAAGGCTGAGGCAGTCTAATTGCCACAAATCAGAGGCCAGCCTGGGCTACGTAATAACCTCAAGGCTGGCCTGAACTACATCATGAGATCCCAGCTCAGAAAACCAAACACAGAAATCTCTGCTCCTTGATTCCTTCATTAGCTCACCTCTGCAGCAATGATTCACTCAGGACACTGGGACCCTGCTGTGTGCCAGGTATGAAATGAAACCCTCAGCGGGGGACAGACAGCAGACGTGTGTGTCAGATGATAGAAACAGCTGTGAAACAAACACAGGGCAAGAAAAATGGATAGGGAGGAGGAAGAGGAGGAACTGTTTCATCTGGGCAGCTGGCCAGGCCTGTCTTGAGAAGAGGGTGTGTTAGCTGAGCAGAACCTGTGTTCTGTGGGCTCGGCCGGTCTGAGGGCAGAACACAGTGGTCACATGTATGGTCGTGAAGCCCCAGAATGACACCATGGGCAACAAATCCAACTTTTCTAGACTTCCGTTTTGACATGTGTATAGTAGAGATTATGGAGCTTCCTCTGGGGAATTGTAGGGAGCAGATGAGTTCTTGTATATAAAGGTCCAGGTATAATCAGCATCATGTGTTAGCTGCTATGCCTGTTGCTGTTTCCTCTGGGCAAATGTGTTCCAGGAAGAGAATGAAGCAAGTGCAAAGGTCCTGAGGCAAATGAGAATGAGCACGGCGGTGCAGAAGGAATAGCAGAGGGTTATTTAAGAGGACAGGATGTGGAACAGAGGAGATAGGAACAGACAGAGACATCAGGAGTTCCAGGTGTTTTATCTTGAGCAACTGAAGAAAGAAGGTGTCATTTTCCGAAATGGGAAGGGCCTTTCAGGATGGAAGGGAAGAGCTGTGTGGGTGTGAAGAGCTTGCCCATGTGGTGCTCTAACATAGGCAATAGGACTGAAGACTAGAGCCTGAGGAGAGGCCTCTTCCTCACCGTGGTCTCCCACAGTTCACCCTCAGGCCATACAGTGAGTGATGGGGTGGGGAAGGAGACCTTCACACCCTGGCCAGGGAGAAGGAAAACTGCAGCCCAAGCTAGGGGGAAAGAGGCCACATGGGTGGGGACCAGTGGGGGGTTCCAGGTAAGCGATGGCACTCTCAAAGGGCCTGGGGCACCCCGGGAGCCCACTTCCTGGGTGACTGTGCATCACTTTCTGTTCCTCCAGGAATTTGCCCTTGGCCGGCAGGCTGCCTCCCCCAGGTGTTTGTACCGGCCTCCTCCTCATCTCCAGGGCTGGAATGCTGCTTGCCACTGCTTATTGTCCTGGAGTTTTGTGTACTGTGAAATTTACAGTTTCTCCCTTGATTTGCACAGGATGCTTCAGAAGAGTGTATGCAAATGCTCGGTTTTGTAGTGTGCTCAGTGCGTTTCATCTGTGTTGCTTGCCTGAGCTCCAGGTATTTATTTCTCACAACTCCCCACAGACTTGAGATGCCAGCTGTCCAGCTCCTCCAACGCCAAGCCAGGCGCCCTGCTGAAAACAAGCCCTTCGCCCGAGAGATCCCTCCTCTTAAAATGTAAGAGCGGGAGAGAGCAGGACAGGGTGGAGGCAGGGCAGAGGGAGGGATGGGAATGGTAGCCCCTCCTGCTTACTGTTGAGAATCCAATGCCTTTGGGGGTTTTTGAAACATTTTTGAGGCTGCATGTTTTGGCGTATCTATAATCCCAGCTCTCTGCAAGGCTGAGGTAGAAGGATCCAGTTCAAGGCCAGTTTGGACTACACAGAGACCCTGTTCAAAGCTACACAGACAAAACACAAATTCTGGGCATGGTGTGCATGCCTATAATTTCAGCACCAAAGGAGGCTGAGGAACGAGGATTGCAATACGAGTTTGGGATTGCCATGAGTTTGAGGCTGGCCTGGACTACATAGTGAGTTTAAGACCAACCAGGACTACAGAGCAAGACCCTGTCTGAAAAAAGAAAACAAAAAACCCAAAAAATGTATATATGGCTGGGTATGGTGGTGCATGCTTGTAATCCCAGCACTTGGGAGGCTGAGGCAGGAAAATCACTGCAAGTTCAAGGCCAGCCTAGACTATATGGTGAGTTTCAGGCCAGCCTGAGCTACATAGTGAAACCCTATCTCAAAAACAAAAAAGTATGTAGACATAAAAATGTAAAGAATAACCAAACCAACCAACCTGGAGAAGAACAAAATAGAAAGTTCTTCCATGCGTTGGGGTATACATATCCAATCCTATATACTCTTAAGAGGCTGAGGCAGAAGGATCCCAAGTTTGAGAACAGCTTGAAAAATTTAGTGAGACTCAGTCTCAAAATAAAATTTTAAAAGGACAGGTGATAGAGTGATTTTCCAGCATACTTGAGGCTTTGGTTCTCCTGTGTGTGTGTGTGTGTGTGTGTGTGTGTGTGTGTCTCACACACACACACACACATACACACTTGCTAAAATAAACTTAAACAAATTAAGAATTTCTCATTAGCACTCAAGAGAGTAAAAAATCAGGCCTCAGAGTAGAATATATTTGCATTAGATACAGATATTCACCAAAGAGACTCAAGTCAGAAATTTGTTAAGAACTTCTACATCCATAAAGGGCAGGCAGTTGGTTTTTTTTTTTTTTTTCCTTTGGTAGAGGGATCAAACTCATGACCTCGCACTTGCCAGGCAGGCACTTGCACCACTGAGCTAAATCTCTGGCCCAGGCAGTTGATTTTTAAAAACAGCCAAAAGACTTAAGCAAATGTTTCATGAAAGATATTTAAATGGCCAAAAAGACATAAAAAAATTAAATAACATTAGTCATCAGAAAAATGTAAATTAAAACTTCAATGAGATGGCTCTACAGTCCCAACAGAATGGCTAAACTTTCAAAAACTATAAACACCAAGGGCTAACAAATAGATGAAAAGCAGGACTTTCTATTACACTACTGGTGAGGATATAAGTAGTTTAGAAAACTGTTTATCATTGTTTACTAATGCTAAACATCCAGCCTTGGGTGGTTGCAGACTGCCTGTAATCTCAGCATTCAAAGAAGTCAAGGAAGGAGGATTTTTTAAGCCTCACTTGGGCAATTTAGCAATATGCAACCATGTTTTAAAACAATAAATAAAAAAAGGGATAGAGAGCCAGGCGTGGTGGCTCACGCCTGTAATCCCAGCACTCGGGAGGATAAGGCAGGAGGATCCTTGCAAGTTCTAGACCAGCCTAAGCTACAAAGTGATCTCAAGGCCAGCCTGAACTGCAAAGAGACCCTGTCTCAAAAAGACAAAAAAGGGGGGCAGGGATAGAGATGTAGCTCAGTAAAAATTCTTTAAAAATGGGACTGGGGGCTGGGGATTTAGCTCAGCAGCATAAGCACCTGCCTTACAAGCAGGCAGTCGTGAGTTTGATCCCTGGTACCGATAAAAAATAAAATTTTTTTAAAAAGTCAAACTAAAAATGGGACTCAGGATGTAGCTCATTGTGAAGGCTCTGGGTTCAACCCACAGTGCACAAGTAAAATAATAAAACATGGTATAATGCAAAGAGAAGTGTTAATGGGGATTTAAATCACAATTTTTCTGGAGACCAATTCAGCAATATTTGTCAAAGGCATTAGAAACACATTGACCCATTGACCTAATAATTCTTCTTTTAAGGCTATATATCCTTTAAAAAAAAGGCTAATCTTAAAGAGTAATCAGATCCATGGAAGTGTAATCATATTTTTTGTTTTCAAAAAGGTGTTTCAAACCTATTGCCAGGTGTGGTGGCGCACACCCATAATCCCAGTACTCAGGAGGCCTAGGCAGGAGGATCATTGTGAGTTTGAGACCAGCCTGGACTACAAAGTAAGCTCAAAGCCAGCCTAAACTGCATTACTAAGAAAAACTCTAAAGCAGCAAGGAAAATTGAATGGAGATGATCCCAGTGTTAACAATAATGGGATTCTTACTGATTTTTTGCGATAGAGCCTCCCTATGTAGCCCAGGATGGCCTCGAACTTAGGATCCTCCTACCTTGGCCTCCCAAGTGGTTAGGGTTTTAGAGGGTTTTTTTTTTGGGGGGGGGGGGTTTCCTGTGCCAGGAATCAAACTCACAACCTCACACTTGCCAGGCAGTAGTCAATTTTTAGATGTATTTTTTTAGAAATTGGCAGTAGGCTCCATAGCACAATACTCATGTATACTTAATATACATGGTGTACAGTGCAATGTTCTCTTTCCTCTGTCCCTAGCCACCTCCCCAGAAACAGGCGGGGTTAAAAGTGGGTTTAACGACTGGGCTGGAATTTCTCCCTGAGTACAGCGCCCCTGTGACCACAGGAGTAGGCAGGGTGGGCGGGGCTGGGACGGAGCAGGGTGGGGCGGGCGGGGAAGGGGCGGGGCCACCACAGCCCCGCCCACCACCTTCGCTCTGTCCCTTCCGCAGACGCGCGCACGCCCACGCTGGATCCGGACACGATGCACGCGCGCCTGCGCCTTTCCGCCGACCGCCTGACGGTGCGCCGCGGCCTCATGGGCAGCCTGGGGCCGACGCCCACGCTTCGCTTCGACGCGCTCTGGCAGGTGTTGAGTCGCGACTGCTTTGCCGCTGGCCGCCACTACTGGGAGGTGGACGTGCAGGAGGCCGGCTGCGGCTGGTGGGTGGGCGCCGCCTACCAGTCCCTGCGGCGCCGCGGGGACTCAACCGCTGCCCGCCTGGGTTGCAACCGCCAGTCCTGGTGCCTCAAGCGCTACGACCTCGAGTACTGGGCCTTCCACGACTGCCAGCGCAGCCGCCTGCGGCCCCAGTACGACCCGGACCGGCTCGGCGTCTTCCTGGACTATGAGGCCGGCATCCTTGCCTTCTACGATGTGACCGGCGGGATGCGCCACCTGCACACTTTCCATGCCACCTTCCAGGAACCGCTGTACCCGGCCCTGCGGCTCTGGGAAGGGGCCATCAGCATCACCCGGCTGCCCTAGGAGCTCCAGGCGTGCCCGCCTCCGCCCTGCTCTACCCCCCCCCAAGACTGCTTTTAGAGCAGGTCCTTGAAAGTGGGGCCCACAAGTATCCTAAGCGTCCACGAGTGGTGCTATTTTGTCCTCACCCTGGGGACCTCCTGGCACTTGGTGGGCGCTCAGTGGGCAGAAAGGCGAGAGCTACTTAGTGGTGTAGGGCAGGGCCAGGTCTGAAGCCCAGGTCTTTGTCCAGGCAGTGCCCTGGCCCTTCCCCTTTCACCCTGGGGGAACTGACATAATCTGGGGTCGTCACGTAGGCATCTGCAGTTTTTGCTAAGTCAGCACAGGCAGTCTGCCTACCCCGCTAAGGACAGAAAGCATTATGTGGGGATCCAGCAGCTCCAGACTGCCTCAGTGCCTCAGAGGGCAAACCCAAGTGTTGCCAAGGAAACATGACAAAAAGAAAAAAGCCAAAGGGGCAGGACCTTACAGAGAGGCCTCCTCTGGTGGCAAAAGGCCCCACTTCCCAGGGCCTGTGCCTCAGTTCAGCATCCTGTTAGGTTCCTAGATGGCTGTGTTAAAGCATCTTCTCAAGTATACAGTGGAGCGCGAGGAAAATGAAAGCCCAACCCTCCTTATGGTATAAACAGAGGCAGTACATTTATTTGAACCCTGTAACACTGTGAAATGCCACTTTTAATGTGGGGAGACACAATGCAAGTAGAACACTAGGCTGAAAGAACCGAAGTGCCTTTAGTTGTGACCAAGTGACTTAAAACTAGTTGGGCAGATGTCCAAGCACTATGCTTCAGAATCCTGAGTAAAGGAAAAATTAACCACTGATAGTGGCCAGAGCTGAATTATGTAAGGAGATGTCTGCTTGGCTCCCCATCTCCATCCATCCCTGAAGAACAAGACCTTTAAGCAGACCCTGAACTCCAGAGGCCAGGCCCATGGCAGCTTTTTAGAGTGTCACATATAGCCTTACTAAACTCATTGATCCTTACGTTGTCCCTAAGGGGCAGAAAGTTTTCCCATTCTGCACATGGCAGAATGGAGCAGACGTGTCACTTTCCCCAGGTTAGACAGCTGGGTTGGAGTGAAGGGTCCATGCTCCTGTCCACTGAGCCATACTATTCAGGGTGGCTGTAAATGGCTGCTCATGTGTTATTTCCCCCCTTGTTCTGTGGGACCCGATTCCACCTTTGGATCACCTTCTCTGGCCCCCAAGATGAAGCCTGACACCTGAAAGGACTTGTTTTGAGAAGTTTAGGATTCACGCTGCAGAGACAGAGCTAAACTATGAAGCAGGAAAACTGCTCTGGGCCAAGGCCTGTACTAGCCAGAAAAGTGGAGTTCAGTATTCAGCTGTTTGACCTCAGAGTCACTGTTTGCTTCTTGCAGTCCCATCAGCAGAATGGGAGCAGTGACTCACTTCCAGGGCTGTGAGGAACAATCGAAATTGCCTTAAAAATTGGTGGTCTGTCCTGCTGGGATTTAGTAGTGCCCAACGTTGTTCTGTATACCATCCTGGTGCTGGGACATCTGAAATGCCCTGCCAACATGTGGCAGGAGTGGAAATCTCTATACTTCCAGCATAGGGGGCATGTTTTCTTCAGGGTATATCCATACTGGTATTGATCATGTACCTCATTCTTTTCTAGAGTTAAACTAGAAATTCCCATACTTACACAGCAAATAGTTTGCAGATCGTTTTCCCCCTGCGGTGCTGGGGGTGGAACTCAGGACCTTGCACATGTTAAGCAAGTGCTCTGTCATTGAACCACAGCCCCAGTCTTGGCAGCAATTTTCTAAAGATGTGGTTTGTTTTAATAAAATATGAATATTGTGCCTTGGAACTGTTCTTCATTGGTAGTTCATGTCATTTTGATCCAGTTTGTAGCAAGCTGGTCTGAGTAAGCATCTCCAACGGTAGGGGATACACAACTCCTAAAGATAACTCAATTTGTGGTTCAGTGCAAACAAACTTGATTTCTGGCTACTCCTGCTCAAGACAGAGCATACAGCATCTTTTAAGTCATCCTTAGGACCAGTGAAGCCATCAGTGGTCAGGAACCCTCTCCCCCCTGCGGTATCATCTCTCCCTTCTGTAATTGCACTTGTCAGTGCCATCAGCCTAGTGGGGCCATAGCCAAGCAGAGGGCACACAAGGGTAGTGCTGCAAAGCCCAGGCCTGGTTGGGCTGCAGTGCCCTGTGGGCAGCCTGTTCAAGACAGCAAGGCACAGCCTTAGATCAGTGGGACATGCAAAGCCGTCCATACAGAAACAATTAAGTCCTGGGAGTGTCTACCAATGCAAGAATGGACAGAGAAAATGTTTGTAATAAGTACCACTCTACTGTAAAGATAAAATTTGAGTCATTCATAGGAAAATGGATGCACTTTGAGACCATGATATTAAGTGAAATAAAAACATAAGCTTCAATATTTTCTTGTACGAGAAACCTAAAACCCAACATTTAAAGCGCAAAATAAAAGATAACAGGAAATAGATCTTTTGGAAATGTGAGGGAATTAAGAAAAAGGGAGGGGAAAGGGGCTGAAAAAGGCTCATGTATCCACTCCCACAAGGAATGTAATCACTATGTACTAATGAAAAATAAAAACTAGGGAAAAATGATTTAAAAAGCTGCATAGGACAGGGAGCGAGGTGAGAGCACGGGGACAGGCCTGGGTCCCCACCTCCCACCACTGCCTGCTGTCCACAGGAGGAATCCTAGTGTGGCAGGCCTTATAGCCCTCCCCCCTCCCTGCGCCACTCCTACCAAAACAAGACTTGCTAGTGCCGAAGCACATGCAAGATCCCCAAGTCTGTGCACATGGTCCTCGGCCACTGCTCAACCTGTAAGTCTAAACCACAGTGGCAGGGTCCTCTCCCACCCTCCTCCTATCTTGGCTCCCATGATTTTGTCATCACCGTGGCAGTTCACACATGTGAGGCACTGTCTGTGGAGGTGCTGGGAACCCCCAGATAGGAGCGGCTGCTTCCTCACCAGACCCAGTACTTCACTCCCTGGCTGGAGATCTCAGGGATTCTTCCAGATCTGAGCTTCCCAACAGGAATGGGCTAGGGGTGTGGCTCTTGGTTCAGCCTGGTGAAGCACGAGGTCTTCTTTAATCCAGCTGCTGCTGGTTATGAGCAGGCCTGCAGTTTACCCCCACACCACACCAGCGCCATCATTCTTTCCGCATGCTCTGACGGAAAGCGTGGTCTAAGTGGCTGCAGTGATTAACCTTGGCTGTCAACTTGACTGGATTAGGAGATCCCTAGGGAGGTGAGGGAACTATAAGGGTATTAACCTCATCCACGGATTAACCCACTGATAAATTCCTAACTGAATGGGCTACTGGGAAAGGGCTTGGTTGGAGACAGCAGATCACTGAGGGTGAGGCTCCAAATGGATATCTTTTCTACAGCTTTCTGCTTTCTGGTTGCCGTCTGCCATGTTTCTGCCTTGGAACCAGCCAACCATGGACTGAAGTCCCTGACACCATGAGCCAAAATGATAAACCATTCCTCCTTTAAGTTGTATATGTCAGGTATTTTGTCCCAGAAACAGAAAGGTTATTTAAAAAAAACAAAACAAAAACTCCTGACCATTTTCCACTTACTCCAACACATGACACAGATCTGTACTCAAGTTGAGTCCTGTGATTATACCCTTCCAACTCTCAGCAGGACTGATTCCTCCCTGTTAGGGATCCAGCTTGTGGCTTATAGAGCAGCCTGGAGCCTTCTGTTCCGGGCTGGCCGGACCTGGTGGTGACTCACTGGCTCCCTGCTGGAAATCCACACTGTCTTAGCTGTAGCCCACACTCATCCTCTTCCAGATCCAGCCTGGCACACAGCCCTCTGCTGTGAGATTATATCTCTTGTTGGAAAGTCTTGGCTATCTGCTTAAATATTATTTTATCTACTGTTATAGAATGAAGGCCACTAAACAAGAAACTGACTGTTTACTTGACATCTGCTTATAGGGAAAAATAAAGGGGGGCAGTAAGAAACTGACAGTATCATGCTTCTGTTCATAGCACACAAATTTTCTCTTACACAAGTACAACCCCACAGACATGCATGCCTCTCCAGATGTTGTGTTGGGATTCACAGGAGAGACGGGCCTTAAGACTCAAAGAAAATTTGAAAGGCTAATTATATTCATTTGAAAGGAGCCACAAATACATACTTGGAATGAAGAGCAGATACAGTAAACAAGGTCAAATAAATATGAACAAAGAATTGAAAAGACGTGAGAAAAAACTGATTGATCTCAGTACTGATCCAAAAACACGAAGAGGAAAGTGAATCTCTAGAAAAAGTGTATGCTGCGTGTTTATGGAAGGAAAACACTGAGAATCTGGTCTGCTGGGTCTGTAATTTTGTGTGCTGTTGTGTTCTGTTGCTCGTGGCAGTGCTGATTTCTGCATCATTCTCATGTACATCTCGCACGCTGAGTCCACACTGCCCACCCCAATCTGTTTCCCCTACTGCACATACATCTTCTTTATTTTTTTTTTCTTTTTGTCTTTTTCTTTTTTATTGGTACCAGGGATCGAACTCACAACCACACACTTGCAAGGAAGGCGCTTATGCCGCTGAGCTAAATCCTCAGCCCCTACACATACACCTTCTAACGCCACTGACCAGCTTACTGTGCTGCTAGTTTCCTGTCTGTCTGCCCCAAGGGCCACCTGGAGGAGGACTGGGCTATGTGCTAGTGCTCTGGGGCTGCTGGCACACAGTGGGCCTCCGAATTTGATGAACTGGCCGCTGTGCACGGGAGCTACAGTGGATGCAAATCAGGTCCCCGGTGACTGCCCACTCCTGTCCCGTCTCCTCCATCATATCAGACGGCGCCAGCCAGATGACTGAGACTCACAGGACCGCACTTTATTTTAAGACCTGATTTTTTTGCCGTGGTTTTCTACCGATTCTTCTAGGATGGTGTCATCTTCTTCCACAGTGACCAGGATCTTCTTGCCCACTAGACTGAAGATGTCTTCAGGAGGACAGCCTTTGGGCTCACTGACCTTCACAGTGAGCATGTCCAGTGTGAGGACAGTGCCTTCTGGAATCCTCACTTTGGCCACCACAGACTTGCCCAGCTGTGGACAAGAGGAACACCCAGTGTCAGAGTCCGAGGCCACACCTGCACACTGCCGCCCTCTTAGAGTCCCTGGGGGCTCAAGACACCTTGAAGGCAGGAACTCTGTTTGTGTCTACAGCACCCAGAACAGCATCTCTCCCAGGCAGGGACTTTGCCACCATGGGGGGACTTCACAGACTCTAGGGGGGCTGTACAGTGGATTGCAGAGGAAAACAGTTAGGCTATGCAGCCGGCCAGCCGGGTTCAGTCCCTGGCACCCTGGGATAAGGTGTTTGGCTTCACTGTAAAACAGGAAATACAGTGCCAGTACCTTGTCAGCTCATAGAGATGCTATGGGATAAATCTGGAATATACAATACTCTCAGTACTGAAAACTGTAATTACTTTGTCATCCTCTAATTCGACATCTGGACATCTTGTAAACATGGGGAAACTGAGGCCCACAGAGGGCAGCCTGGCCTAGATGACAACCTCAAGAAGTGGTGGTGAACCTCTGAGTTCAATGATACAAATGGCCGGCCGCAGCACGCAGGCCATCGGTTTGCCACCCCTGACCTAGAGGAGGAGGGTGACGACCAACCTTCTGCTCCTAAGGGACACAAACCCACTGCCACTTTGTTTAGTGAAACAGAACGTGGAGTTGGTGAAGGTGACGCAAAGGGGAGGCTCTAAGAGGGAACAGACAGGACAGGCAAGTGAGGGGGATGAAGGCTGCTGAAGCTCACAATCAAGGTTTCTGCCCCTATAAATGATCCAAAATCAGTCTCCTGCTACCTTAGCCTACACTATCCATAGAGGAGCCCAAGAAACCAATTCTGCTTGGACTGTTTGTTAGGAAAAATGTCCATTAGCTGCTGCTGATCAGATCATGCACCTGTGTGTTTACACAGGTAGATTACAAGCTCAACGGTTCCTAGTACAATTCCAGTTCCTAGTACAACTGTCTCCCCTTTTCTTCTGCAAGCTAGCTGTGTTCTTTTCACTAATCATTTCCCAGGATATACGTATATTTCATTAGGAGGGGTGGCAGCAGGCCAGCCCCACTAGAATAAAAAGATGACAACATCCCCCAAGCCTGGGGTTGACCTCTGCCCCAACCCCGGGAGCCTGCAGCAGATGGGCAGATCCAGGGTTCCTGGTTCTGGGGTTTGGGGGCAGGAAAGTTCAGGCCACAGCTTCCAAAAAGCCTAGAAGGTCAGTGTACCAGATGGTGCGTCTAAGCCTCACCACCACATGTGTCTGAAGGCTGACGTGGCCCAAGGAATATCTGCACTGTCACCAGCCGCCGTTCACCCAGTGTGTCCCCAGCAGGAATGCCACACTCTCTTCCCAGTGTCTCAGGGCTGCCCTACTCGATCCAGCTCTAGTTTTGGCTCTACTTAGGGCTTTAGCCCTGCACACCTCTGGGAGACCAAGACCAGTGGGGGCCACTGAGACTTAGTGGGAGACTCTAACATAACCCAAGGTGGCTGGAGAAATGGCCAGACTTTCAGTTGCACATTTTCCCTGCAGCGGCGCGCAGGCCTGAAGTCATAGGGAGGGACAGGTGTACATCAGAGCCGTGCGGAGACAGGCAGCACCCACCTTCTCATTGCACGCCATCTCACAGGGCAGCATCTGCTTGGTCGGCGAGCCCAGGGCCCTCTCCACAAGCCGCACAGACCGCACCAGCTCAGCCAGTTCTCCAGGTTCCAGTGAGGCCGAGTGGTCACTCCCCTTCCAGGTCTTGTCCAAAGTTATGTGACGTTCCAACACCTTGGCCCCCAAAGCCACTGCAGCCACAGATATCGCTATGCCTGTTTCGTGCCCCGAGTACCCTATGGGAATGTCAGGAAAGAGCTTCTGGTATTCCTTTAACATAGAAAAAGGAAAACGATGTCATCTATGGTGGTACTTCATGCGTATCTCTGCAGTCAGGCAGACGTAAGGTGAGCTACTCACTAGCTGCACAACCACAGGTGACATGTCGGGGTTCTGAGCCTCTCTCCTGGAAAAACAGTATTGCCTGCCCAGGACTGCTATGAATGCACTAAAACAATGGTTACCATCATCATTAAGAATGCATTTTATGAATACTTTGCCCTACACAAATCAGCAGGAATAAAAACTTAAACGAAATCTCTAAGCTCAGAAAGTTCCTGTCACATTCAATTAGTCTATACTAAAAGCAACTGTGTTATATGCACAAATATCAATTATATATACACAGCCCAATCTCAAAACAATCTGTTTGAAGAAATGCTGAATAATTAATCGGTTATTTATAAATCACATGGTGGTCAGAGAGGTGGGTGGGCCCAACAGATGGGTTGGAAATCCCAAATGGTATCAACATGGAGAGAAATGGATCTCTACAACATACTGAGAGCCAGGTATGGTGGTGCATGCCTGTAATCCCAGAATTTGGGAGCCTGAGGCAGGAGTACTGCCAGGAGGTCGAGCCAGCCTAGCTAACAAAGTGAATTTAAGGCTAGCCTGAATTGCATGGCAAAATCCTGTATCAAAAGACAAAAAACAAAATGAACACAAACAAACAAACAAAAACAAAATCAAGAAAGAAAATGAAGGAAAATATCTTGAGTTACACATGTTAATAGTTATGGTAATCTCGGTGAGATGGGGTTACAGAGAAGTCCACTTTCTTTCTTTTTTGTGGGGGGAATCAAACTCACAACCTCACACCTGTCAGACAGGCGCTTATGCCACTGAACTAAATCCCCGGCCCAGAGTAGTTCACTTTCTATGCAATATATTTTAAAGTTAAGAAAAGATCATGTTTAAATTTAAAAAATAACATCATGTCTCTAATGTCAACAGCATGGCTAGAAGTAGAGGAAAATGATTAGGAATGGGAAGACAGAAAATTTGCATAAAAAGATGGCCATGAAAAGGGTGAACTTTAAGTTAAATATGATGACTGTATAGCAATGCATAAAAGGTTTATATGGAGAAAATAAGAATAGAATGTCAAATATCGTATAGATATATTTGTTTAAAGACTTACCTGTTTAACCACTGTTCTGACTTATAACCAGTTTCGTTTTGTTTGGTCTGGTTTGGTTTGGGTTTTGTGATAGGGTCTCACTGTGCAGCCCAGGCTGGCCTCAAATTCTTGGGGATCCTCCTGCCTTAGTCTCCCGAGTGCTGAGATTATAGGAGTCTATCACCATACCCAGCCCATCTTTTCTTTGTATAGCTCTGTGCATCCCGTTTATAGAGAGGCTCACCATGTAGACCATGTCTGATTTATACAAGACTGTAATTTTTGCTGATAGTACTATACAGTATCGTAGTTTTATGTTCTGTTACATATTACAGTACTACATGTAAGAGTTAGGCAAATATAAGCAAATTCATCAAGCCAGAGTTTCCTTTGACCATTTCCTTGTTAAACAGGAATGTCTGTACCAAAAGGACAATCCAAAAAGAAAATATTAATGATAATATCAAGCTCATGAATGTGTCTCTGTAGTTATCAGTGACGTATTTACAGTTCTGCTAATTTTACTATGTTTTTATGATTGCACACACCCATATTATCTTTCCATAGTTCCAAAGAACTTAAATTTTGGTTACTAGCAGGAGGAACTGATAGAGATGGCCTGAGATAACAGCAGACCAAAGGTCAGCAGGAGACAGCCCAAGCTCTAGACCAGCTTGGCCATAAGCTGTCGCAGCCCTCAGGCTGCCCCCTAGGAGTGGGCTTCACCATGTGTAAAGTGACTGACTTAGAGCAGACAAAACTCTGGGAGACAGACGCTCCCTCGAGGCTCTCAGTATAACCCATCTGAGCATCAGGGGGTGCTCAGCGTTTAAAAATAAGCCAGCCAGCAAATAGCAAGGCAGAAAAGGCCAGAGTTTCAAGGCCTTTTACAACTCCATATGAAAACAGACAGACATTTGTACCCCAAGGATCACAACAACATTATTCCTAATAGCTAAAAAAAAGTAAAACAATGGCAACACCCAAAGACAGAAGACACAGAACATAATTTATACGTACACTGAAATATTCAGCCTTAAAAAAGACATAGAATAGCTGGGGGTGGTGGCATGTGGCTATAATCCTGGAAACTGGAAGCTGAGGGTCCAGAGGACTCAAATTTGAGCCCAGCCTAGGCAGTAACTTATTAAGACTCTCAAAGAAAAAAATGCTGAGGGAAAAAAGAAAAAGAAAATTGACATATGAACTCTGAAGACCAAACAAAAAGAGGTAGAAGCAGAAGGACACAGGCAAATACTGTGTAATTCCACTTAAACAAAGTCCCTGGAGTAGTCAAACAAACAGAGACATAAATAAAGTGTTGGCTGCCAGAGCTGAGAGAGAGGAGAAACGGGGAGTTAGTCCAGAGTTTCAGTTCACGAGGGTAAAACAGCTCTGGAGAAGGCTGGGTGTGCTGTGTGCTCAGCAACGCAAATGCACTTCACTGCCATGGAGCTGTTCCATCAGAAGTGGTTAAGAGGGTGAATCATGTGTACATCTGAGCACAGTTTAAAAAGTAGACAATACTGGGTAAAAGGGCGTGAACCAGCAATCACAGAAGAGGGACCTCTAATAGCACACACAGGTAAGTGTGCATAAAGCAACCATGAGGATTATATGTCTCTTTCTCTCTCCTCTCTCGTCTTTTTGAGACAGGTCTCGTTATGCAGTTCAGACTGGCCTTGAACTCATAGGATCCTTCTGCCTCAGCCTCCAGAGTGCTGGGATTACAGGTGTGGCCACCACACCCAGTTACATTTTATAATGGGAGAAACTAAGATTAGCCTTAAGAAAATTTATGTGCTTCCTCAACCCCACAAACTGTCTAACAGCAAGACTGTCACAGGATATCTAAATTACGGAGTCTGCCATGTCTGGCTAGAGTTGCATTATGATAAAGGCTAGGGCAGCAGGTGAGGTGTGTCCATCTGCAGGAGAGCCTTGGCCTTGCAGCTGTGATGCCGGATCCAGTTCTCAGTACCACCCCCCTCCAAAAACAAAAGGAAAACCATTGTGCGGTGGCCTGGTGGGACCACAGCCTCCCCCATGCTCACCGCGATGACTCGCAGGTTGACGTCCTCAGGCTGGAGCGGGTACGCGCTGGTGCACTGTAGGAAACAGAAGTTGGGGTTCAGGGGCTTCACGATCTGGTAGACTTGCTTCATGGTATCCATCGATTGCATCCCACTGGAGATCACCATTGGACGACCTGAGAGACCAGAGTGTCTTTAATCTGGGGATTTCAGCCTCTGCCTTACATACACCCCGGGTGTCAGCCTCACTATCTAAGCGCGCCTGCAAACACCTCTGCAGACACTGTGCCGCCACAGCTGAGTGTGAGGGCGAGGGTGCTGAGACCCTGCTGTCAGCCCCGGAAGGGCAGCTACCCTCCACCCCAACGTCTGTCTTCAGCAGAGAACTCAATGACGAGATGGGAATTTCACATTTCTGAGGAGGAAGAGGAGCACTTTGAAGCTCAGGGCTTCCACAGTATGCACAAGCTGAACATCGCTAATCTGAAAATCCGAAACACTCTGCAGAATGGAACACTTCTGTTCAGAGAAGGGGGAATCATCGGGTAGTAGGGCAGCAAGGCTGAGCTGAAGGCCAGAGCTGCCACTTACAGTGGCTCCCGGGCAGAGCTCAACCCTCTCTGAGTCCCAGGGCTCCCTCCTGTGAAATCAGTATAAGGCGTCACAGTCACAGGACCGGCTGCCATCCTGAGGTCGCCAGGGTGTTCACATGAGACAGCTAGTGTCCTAAAATCACTTCACAAACGATGGCCCACAGCCAGCAGGTAGGCCACACCCACAGAATGCTGCTCAAATCACAGTTTCTTCTCTAAGTTTTGCTTTTTCTCTTTTTTCCCGGTGGAGGGCACTGAACATAGCATCTGCACGCTGGGCATTTTTTAATTTTTTGTTTTGAGACAAGGTCTTGTGAAGTCACTAAGTTGCCCAGGCTGGTACTGAATTTGTAATCCTTCTGCTGAAGCCTCACACAGTGTTGGGATTACAGACAAGCATCACCTTAATTTCTTATAAATTAAAAAGAACTGTACTTTGTCACTGACACATAAAAACTGTACGTATTTATGGGGTACCATGTGGTATTTTGATGAACATATACAGGGTAAGCATGCCTGTCAACTTACATATCATTTCCTCATGGTGAAAACATTTAATCCTTGCTTCTAGCTTTTTCCGGAATAAACAATACTCTATGGTTAGGTGTAATCATCCCACTGTGCAAAGATTCTAACTTCTTTTAACTATACGGGTACCCATTAACCAGTCTCTCCCCATATTCCCTCCCCCATGCTCCCCAGCCTCTGATAACTACCATTGTACTCTCAACTTCTAAAAAATTAGCTTCACTTTTTGTTTGTTTGTTCATGTGTCATTTCAAGACAGGATCTCACTATGCAGTTCAGGCTGGCCTTGGGCTCACTTTGTAGCCTAGCCTGGTCTCGAACTTGCAACAATCCTCCTGCCTCAGCCTCCCAAGTGCTGGGATTACAGGTGTGCATCACTGCACCCAGGACCAGCTTCACATTTTTTAATTTAAAAAACTTCAGCTGGGCGTGGTGGCTCACACCTACAATCCAAACACTTAGGAAGCTGAGGCAAGAAGATTGTAATGAGTTTGAGGCCAGTCTGGGCTACAGTGAGTCTACGGCCAGGCCTAAACTGCATAGTGAAACCCTGTCTCACCATCATATCCTTAACTTCTTGCAAGTTAGTAAATTAAAAGGTGGGAGTGTAGGCTGATGGAAGAGAGCTTTCTAAAGTTTGTCTGTCTTTACAAACTCTGTTTCAAAGCGGGCTACCACTAACAGAATAAAAAATAAAGATTTGGACTTGGTTGGGTTTGATGTCAAAAATGAGATACTTACCCTTTTTGGCTGTCTTTTCCAGATAAGGGAAATTGTTAGTGTCTCCAGATCCAACTTTAAAAAATGGAACATTCAGTTCATGCAGAAACTCAACCGCCATCTACAATATAAAGAGGGAGCCCTCATTCACTGCTGTTCCAATGCACTGTCCTTGTGGCAAAGGCGTAAGTAGAGGTGACAGAGTCGTCCTCTTACTCAGCGTGGAAGACTCAAAACTTGGAAGCAGCGGGGCTGGGGATTTAGCTCAGCGGCATAAGCACCTGCCTTGCAAGCAGGCAGTCATGGGTTCGATCCCTGGTACCGATAAAAAGGAAAAAGACAAAAACAAAAACACAAAAAACAAAAAACTTGGAAGCAGGGAGCGTGCGTTCTCAGACATCTCACCGCAAACCGCAACATTCACTCCTGGCCACCCTCCTGCTGGTCAAACACACATTTAGTGCTGGCCTGAACTGGCTCCAGGAATTGGAGAGGAATTACATCACCGCCCCAGGACCTGTGAGCAAATGTGAACCCATCATAACTAACCCTGAGGCAGAAAGCCGGGTGGAGACAAGGGGGCAGTCCTCTGAGGCTTGACCCTTCAATCAGGACCAAGCAGCCAGGGAAAGAGGTCACTCTCATCTTTGCCGAACAAGGGAAATAGAGCAGCTGGTGGCCCACAGCTGGCAGGGCCCACCAGACAGACTAGCAAGGCTCAGTCACCTTCTTCTGACCCAAGATGAATGCCCAGGGCTACCTACCTAGGGCCCTTGCTGCTATTACTGGGATTCATCATCCTATCATCAGGAAGTGCCAAGAGACGGGGACATGTGGGCAAGCACTTGCCGGAGGACAGGAGGACAGTTACCAGAGTAAAATCTCAGGTGGCTTTTAAATAACAAGGCCTCAGAACAATTACTTTTTAATGAAGACCTCTGTCCAGTTTGACTGAGGTATAATCGGTTTGTCAAAAGCTGCACATAATGTACAAAATCTGAGTCAGGACACATGTGCCTATGTGTTACCATCACCACAAAGTAATAAACGCACCCATCATCTCCAGTTTTGGGGTCTGTTTACTTATTTATTTTTTAATTTGAGATGGAAGCGCAAACCTCAGAATGGTTCCAAATACCTAAGTTCCATCATTAAAATACGCCTAAAAATTAATAAATAAGCTAGGACCTCATGTACTAGGCCAGTGCTTCTAACACTTCATGATGTGTACATCAGTCACCCAGGGATTCCTTTCCTTCCACCATTCTCTTTTTCCCTTTCTCTGTTTATGTGTCACACTATTAACCATCCCTCAAAAGAAGAGACTAAAAAAATTTTTTAACGTATTGATTAAATAAAGTTTAGTCTTCCCAGCCATCTGACTCTATCAGGCGGACGAAGCCAGTATTTTCCATGTCCAGAAGGAAACATTATCCTGAGACTTATTCCTGGTAACATTCAAATGGTGGGACAGTAACCCTCCAGGGAATGTGCAGATGGATAAGCCCGCTCAGGAGAGGGCAGAGCAAGCAGACGTGAGGAAGAGGTTCCATGAAGAAAAACACCTACAGAGACTGTGAGGTCCGCATGAATTCTATCATTTTCAGATGATAAAAAGGAAGAATTCCTACAAGGAGGGGAAGCCTGTGCCTACCTTTGCAGCCCCTTCTGGGGAAACCACCGCCACCTTGTGCCCATTTAGAAAACTGCCACTCTGGTTCCACACCCTGCAGAGAATCCAGCTTCAGTCACCTGGATCTTAACCTCCTGGACAGCACCACTGAGCTCCTGGGACCTCTCAGGCCATGTCACAGCCCAGAGTCCCCTCCCTTCACAGCCTCTTTGATTTCCCCTAGCCTACCCTCTCCACTGCTGAGTCCACTTGGGCACAAAAACGCCAGGTAGACTCAGGCAGTCTCCCTGCCTCTCATCCCATGACACAGAGGTTTCGGGGTCTGTCTGGAAGCAACTCAGTCACATGAGACCCTCCTCTGGGACCCTCCTCTGGGACTTGGCTGGACTCAGGATGCACAAACCAACAGACTGATTTGGGGGAACAACTCTGCCAAGAGTCCCAGCCCACCAACCTGTCTGACCAGAGCTAGCATCTGCCAACCTGTTCGGCTTAGGACACTGTAAACACTCAGCTCAGCTCATTAGTGAGAGTCGGAAACACGCCCTGAGGACCCCCTTGCAGCGTGATGCGCTGAGAAGCTTCAGCAGCCACAGATCTCAGGAAGGAAAGGAGGAGGATGTTTCTACGGCCTGTTCCACTCCCATTTCTGGACCCCACAGGACAGTGATGAGCTGGGGAGAACAGAGGACACTCCAGAAGGCGGTAGCCCACACATGTGCACAAGGGCACCATGCCACCTGCTGCTGGGTGGCCACAGAGGGAGAAGAGGAAGACAGAAAGGCCTGCAGAGGTAAGTGCTAGGGGGAAAGGGTAGCAGCCAAGGCGAACCTTTTAGAGCTCCCAACGATACGGACAGCCCGCTGCGGCACACGGGTCATCCATTTGCCACCTCTGTAGCAGGATGTCCACTGCACATGACAGAAGCAGCTCTTCAGCTACCAACATGGCCTTGGGTTCCCTCTGCTGCTGACAGAACCGTCCAGTCATGCGAAAGGCCCTCTGCTTATTTCAGCTGAGTTCTATATGCCTCTGCGTCTTTCTGCCAGAAGTCCTGGTAGTTTTATTGACCTTAATAATGTTCAGCTCCACCTTAACCTTTCCTTGGCAAACAGAGAACACCCTAGAACAGCATACAGAGTGGAGAAAAGCAGCACTCACCACATGCCTACTGTCTATAAGGAAGTCAGGATGGGTAAACGCTAGAGCCACAGCTCAGTAAACACGGAACAAGGAACAGGAGACCAATAACTGCTGGACAGGAAATGCTGGCTCAGCAGACACCTGCCAGGCAAAGCTAGTTAACTCTTACAAAAGTCCTAAGAATCCATTTTCCAGCCAGTGATGTACCCTGTGATCCGGTCAGCCAGGAGGCTGAGACAAGAGGACTTCAAATTTGAGCCCAGCCCAGACAATTTAGCAAGATCCTGTCTCAAAATTTTAAAGGTAGGAGGGGTGCGGCTGGGGATACAGCCTACCGCCTGAAAGTCTGAAAGTCTGAATTCAATCTCTAATACGAGAGAGCAAGAGAGAGAGAGAGACAGAGAGAGAGAGAGAGAGAGAGAGAGAGAGAGAGAGAGAGAGAAAGAGAGAGAGAGAGAAACAGACAGAAAAGAGACAGACAGAAACACAAAAAGAAAGAAAGGAGGGACAGGGAGACAGCATTTTCCTCTTCCAGTCTGAGCCCAGGTAGCCAGGAGACCAGCCGGAACAAAGGGCACTCAGAACAAAGAGCTTCTCTGGCCAAACCAGTTAAAGCAGGAAATAGCAGAGGGTCCCAGAGAACAGGCTGGCTGTCACCGGCAGCAGACCTGGCCCTGACCTCACCCTCAGTGCCCCGCCACACAGAAGGTGCCAGCACCCGGATCTGAGCACAGAGCACAGCTCCAGAGCAGGAGGCCCGATCACTACCCAGATGGTTCCCTGGGAGCGGAGGGAAAGGGAACCAAGGGGTGCAGACGGGGGCAGCACCACACCCAACCCCTCTCTGTCCTCCACCGCTTCTGGTCGTCAAGCATCGCACAGGGAAGGAACACCCTGAGAAGGGCCTTTTCCTCAGCAGCCACTGCTGTGAGGAGGTGCTTATCTCTGACAGTCAGAGCCAGGAACATGGAGCTGAAGGGTAGGCTGAGGCAGGAAAGCCCACATTGGCTTGGTGACATTGTGGTTCTACGCTGACTGGGATGTCAGGAGAGCCACAGCCCACTGACAACAGCTTATTCACACACAGAAAACGAAACAGAGGCGGGGAGAGAAGGGCCCGCCAAGGTCACCCTGAAAGTTAGGGGCAGAGTCAAGGCAAGTTCCCACATGCCCTGGTCCTTAGCCTGACCTGCTTTTCTTCCCTGGAACTCACATGTGCTGCGCCCTGGCTGCATGAAGTGCTTTACATCAATAAGCACACTTGATTCTCCCAGCTGTAGCTGGGAAGGCACTCACAACTCCCACTGTTTGCTTTTTTCTGTTTTCCTTTGACACCCTCCAAATCCTAGTCTTCAAAACTTTACTGTATTGCCTACAGATTATAGTTCAGACGCTTAGTTAACAGTTAGATCTCAAACAGCAAGTGGCCTTTGTCCAAATCCCCAAAGCCTCCTCCTCTCCCTTAATTAGCTATAAAAACTATGGAGAGGGAAACAAACAGGTTTATGTCAAGGCACCAAACTGCCTGGTGCCCAACTCCGTGGTCAGTTAGCCAGATGTGGAAGGTCTTGTAACCTTCCAAAGCAGCGACAGTGCTGCAAAAAGGTGGTATCCATGGAAACCCTTTGACCCTGTGACCTCACACAGGGGTCTACATCAGAGGAGAAAAGGATTCGAGGCCAACCAGCCAGCAGTTTTGATGACCAAAGCTGACAGACCACTGCAGTTCTGAAAGAAACCTCGTTCGTTTCTGAAATCTCAATGTCCCATGGGTGACTTTCTTGAGAACACTGCAATATAACAAACTCTACTTTATAGCTAAAGAAACAGGCACGAAAAGATAACACAGATCTACCAGGAGTGACAGGCAGCACCAAATTCAAATCTAGCATCTGACCCTAGAGCCCATCCACTCAGCCACAGGACCCAAGTCTGGGCAGAGCCACACACACAGCAGAAGCATGCTCCCAGCAGCAGGGATGGTGACCTGCACAGCCAAGCAAGGCGCTGTCCAACAAGACTGCACACCGTGCACGCAGCCAGGACCTGCACCATGCAGCCGGGGTATGTAGCATATGCAGGAGTCTGCAGCACCCAGCAGAGATGTACACCACGCCCCCAAAGTGTACACAACTTCTCATGCTGCCCTGGTGGTTAGATTTTGTGTTTTTGAGTCTCACTATGCAGTTCAGGATGGCCTTGAGCTCACTTTGTAACCCAGGCTGGTCTCAAACTCACGATTCTCTAGCCTGATTCTCCTGCCTCAGTCTCCTGAGTACTGGGATTACAGGTGTGCACCACCACACCTGGCTTCAACATTTAGATCTTTATATTCTTAAAATTTC